AAGTACGTTGTCGGCTTTTTAAAGGAAGAAGCTATTTTCTGGAAGGTTTCAATGTCGTATCGGTCCGGAAATACCATTGCTGGACGGTGATTCCACAATGTGGTTGTGCGAGGCAAAAAGTTTCTAGAAAACCGCTCTGTGGAGGACCGCCATTCATCCAGATGATCAGGATGGTATTTTACTTTCGGGCGGGTGGTGAAACTCAGTGGCTGGTATTAATCCGAACAATTCCTCAGAACACACCCCGTGATATATGCGGTAGAAAATGCACAGAGATGCAATATCTCGCCGCAAAGCCAATGTGTCGAGTCTGTCACAACGTGATTTGAATTTGAAAATAAATTAAATGAACTGAAAAAGAACAAATCAAGTCAAAATATCCTATTTAGATAGATAAGAATTTAGCTCAACAACAAATGTTTTATTTGATCATCCCAGATCGCTTTGTCGGCTACGTTTTTTTCTGTTCGGAGAAAGAGTACCTGTATACGCTATATAAAATAATTGTGATTTAATTTTGAAAATAAATTGAACTGAAGAAGAATAAATAAAGTCCAGTCAAAATATCTTAATTAGTTATTTTTTTAAAACTATTGATTTTGTACAATAGTCGGGCTTAATGCTAATAGCATTCTCTACCAGCCAACCTTAGGGAGCGCAGAGAAACAGATAAGAATTTTTATTTATACAACACAGATTATTTAAACCAATTAATCAATAGATTTAATAACATTAATCTATATATATAACTCAAAGGTGACGGACATAGTGATCTATCAACGCACAGCCCAAACCACTGGACGGATCGGGCTGAAATTTGGCATGCAAGTAGATGTTATGACGTAGGCATCCGCTAAGAAAGGATTTTAATTAATTCTACCCCCAAAGGGATAAAATTTTATATGAAACTTTCAATTTTAGACCGATCGGGCTGAGACTTTGCATGCATAAAGCTACTATGACGTAGGCATCCCCATAGAAAGGATTTTGATAAATTCCACCCCTAAGGGGATAAACGAACGCGAGCGAAGACGCGGGCAAAAGCTAGTTCATATGTAAGTATGTTAGTCTTTAAGGTATTTATATGGGCCTTTGCCTAAAATAAATTAATAAAAATAAAATATTTCATGACTGCCTTGTTGGTGTAGTGAGTTAGTACACAGCTTTATTTCAGATGGGTTTTCGTCAATTCTTCGCTCAAATGCACTCCAATACTGAGGGTATAAGTCTGTAATAGACCTACATGAATGATTGGTTATGTCGGTCTATGTATTTGTATTTCCAAAAATAAAGTGTATCTAAGTATTAATATCAGTTGTCTAGTATCCATAATACATTGCTTAGCTTAGGACTAGATGGCACTGTGTGAATTGTCCAGGCTGGCACATTACTGCTTTACTAGTACCTACCACCAGAGTTAGTAGAGGTGAGGTAACTGTGAAATAAAATATCAACAATATTTTGATATAATTTTATTTTCATATTTTCATAATTTATTTATATATAATGACTATAATCATCTACCAAACTAAATAATCAATATAATTCAACAGCTTCCTTTATATACAATATGTATAGTAATAGAAGTTTTTATATTTTCTCCCATCCGAACTATTAAAAAAGAGACAGTCGTATAATCCATACAAAACAATATTGAAATGAAGTACAATTGTTACAGATAACAAGTAATAATTTGCCACAAGTTTTATTATTTATTTACAAATCTTATATTAATTTAGTCCCATAATTTCCAAATGAATAGTTAGTGTTGAATTGGAACAATTGCCTTGCATAATGTCCACGTGCTGGCGGCCGGGCGGCTGCAATCACAACTAAGTAACAATGAATAGAATTGAGAAAACTTAACTTGTTCCTTTTTACATTATATATATTATAGTTAACAGGCGGTACAGCAGCATTGTTTATGTGGTCTGTGCAACGTCCCACACAGTATAGCAATGTGCGGCACATAGCGTAGCGTCGTAGCACAACATCGCACATAGCAATGTATGGCAGAGAATAAAGTTTCAGTTTGGGCATGAATTGTATTTTCCTGTGAAGACGAGTCGCTCAATCAGGTTGAGTTCACCTGAATGCCGCGCCGCACACAGCGTAGCGTCGGACGTCACACAGCGCGGCCGCGGCCGTTTGCACGTAGAGGGAGTTCTCATTATAACTAGTGATCACCACACACCATGTCACGCTGGATTTTATTCAACAATATATATATATATATACATATTATTGACTACAGTATTATATCTATCTATAGACAGACCCACAGATATGTTTTAATATAAGTAAATATATGATTGATTTGTTCTGTGAATATGAAGTGTAAATGCATCCAGCGCGACACGGCAGTCAGTTCCATTACGTACAACAGTCTAAATTATAAATCAGTTTAAACTATATAAAAGTATAGATCAACAACATTCTCTGTATAATAATTTGATACTAATGAGAGAGAGCGAGCGCTAGCATAATTCTTACACAGACCGAGTTACGATGGTTTTATTTATACGTGATTGAAAGTGACTTATCAACTCTTAAGTTATAGGATGTTAAAATGAAAAATCTACTTCACCGTAGGGTGATTACAAAGATAGCGCAGTAAGCTGCGTCTGAAAACTATACGAGCCGCCGACGACGCTCGGGCGAGCGTCGCGGCGTCGCCTCTACGTAACAACACAGGTACAACAAGTACTTGATATATTCGACTGATATGCGATCCGGATATAGCAGGCGGCTTGCTCGCGTCTCTATCGGAGCTATACTCGCCGCCTGTCAATTGGAAACTGCTTTAAAACCATCTACACTTACGTCTGTAACCTTTAAAATTCCAACATGGCGATATCAAAATACGTTTTCCAATAAGACTCGTGAATGTTATGTAACAAAATAATTTGGTTAAAACGCGCATTTTTACATTTATTTCGCGATGTGAAGAACATCAGGAATGCATGTCGCGAGTGCTCCGACACGCAATTTTAATACTTAAGTAATACTAACTATATTCATATATATTCTGATAATTACAAACCGAACTGTCTTGTTAAACTCTAAATTAAAATATGACTATAAACCGCGTAACAAGTATTACATATTTATGTAGACAGGTACATCATCTATATATAACAAACAGCGGGAAAGTATAAATGTTTGGCATCCGATACGATAGCGACCGTGGCTCTTTGCCGATACGCATAGTGTACGTACAACGAATTAAACAAAACTAGCATCTCTAACAAAGATAAAAATCTAAGCGAAGTAAAGTGATAACACAAAGCTATAACTGCCTTTACGCGACACATTTTATACGCGCGATCAGAAGCGCGGGAAATACCAGCGCGCGCAATATTTGTCTTGCATTTGACAAATATTTCTGTTCACTTTCGCGCGTATGATTAATGTCATATCACTTTCTTTTAATCATTGAATTTTTATTTCAAAGATTTTATTCTCCAGAAACACGTAAATTATCATTACTCTGTTTTTATTTTTTATTTTCTCTATGGTCAGATGTCCGCCATTTTGCAATGATAATTAATTGTTCATGATGGCGCTCAAGCACGCTTAAAGAACGCGGGAACGTGCAACATGGCGGCGGGCGCGGTCTTTCTCGTTCTTCTCTACATTTCTATACATACCCGTGTAAAGAGCGTGTAAAGGCAGTTTATAACGTAACATGGATTGCGATGTGGAGTATATAAATAGAGAATACGTACACAAAGGAAGCGGGAAGCGAACATAACGTCGGCAGCCATGACGGAAAGGTTATTGCCCCGCGATACACCGACACTACTGTAGGTACTTATATTACTAGAGCGTGGCCCGCGTCGCCGCCGCACCGCCAGCCGCGGAAAAATTTGGTATACTCTATATTCCAATATAACTTAAATGAAAAAAAAAAACTTACAAGGTGACTAATAAGTGACCACTATTAACTACATCAGCCCTTCCCTCCAGAAGGGGATTGTTAGCAATGTGGATTGATGATCTTATTGCTAGCAATGTACTTATGTAGGTTAACTTCCACTCGGTTCCCTCTGGAAACCATCGTGATAAATTCCTGGTGAATTTGTCACGATGGGTTAACTGACCTGACCTCATGCACATCTTATCATCCCCCACTGGGGCCCCGCTAGCGTAAACCGGGTGCACAATTCCATTATCATCCATAAAAAAACTACACCTGGTTTAAGGTTTAAGGTTTCTTAAGAGTTAGCAACGCGTACGTGACACCATAACATTGACATTGCCATAAGTTTGGCCAAATGCTTGTTTGCCAACATCGTACTATAAAAAAAAAACTAACCTGACCATAGTTTGTCTAGTGACGACCAAAAATGCGACTCAAAAATCAATAATCGTCTTGATTATTTCGATTTATCTATGTGTTATTATATTCACCGATTGCAACGTTACAGTAAACATTGTCAACGGCCAAAGACTGAACTTGTACGTAATATATATATATGTATTTAATATTTCAGGTAGTTAATTTCTTTGTAAATACTGGCATTACAGTAACTGTCCCTGTATAGGTACGTACAGACAGTACAAACGCGGCGGCAGGTATCTATATATATATACAAAAGTGTCCGGCGACGACAGCGGGCCCGCTTGCCCCTCGGCCTTAACCTAACCTAAAAGCCGGCAATATACACAGAGCGTTTAGTCATTAGTTTACATATTGTAGTTTATCCATTTATTTTTAGAATTTATTTTATCTAGCAACATAGACACGACACCAATTGGTCTGGTTTAATTTAGGCTGGCGACCCGCACGTAATATTGCTATCATCGTATAGTACAGCGTGACGCGGCACCGCCACAATAATTAAGTACGAACAAGTATCCGTCCAATACGAATATTACATATGAATGCAACCAGAGCACGTGTGTACTGATCAACGCCGGTAACGTATAAGGGAGCGGAACGGGTGCAGTGTGCAGGTACAGGGCGGGGGTGCGGGGGCGGGCGGGGGGCGGGGGGTGTGGCGGGGGAGGGGGTGCAGGCGCAGGACGCGGCCCGGGCGGCCGGGGGACCACCGGCGAGTGTAACAAAAATTATTGTCATCCAATGCTTAATTTTCCAATCTTTATAAGTATCGTTTTATTTATTTACTTAACACTTTATACAGATCGATATCGTCCACTATCATTAGTATAATCATCGTAACTATAAAATTTACAACTACAATTTATTTGACGTCGCTGCGGCGACTTGCGGAATCTCAAGTGTCGCGGCGCTGGCGCGAGTCTCAGCGGCTCGAGGGCGAGAAAGGGGGAGGAGGGGAAGAGACGGAGGCGGCGAGGGCCACGCGGGGGGCGGCGGCGAGGTACGGGAGGGGGATGGGGGGTAGCTCGCAGACGGCACGTCGTATAAAAAGTTCCACTAGATTAGTTACAACGCTTTCATATTTACAATATCACATCGCGCGAGCGGATGCGGAGCGAGAGTCGCCGGCCTCAGGCACGGAGTAATTGAAGGACGCCGCGACTGCTCGGCGGCGAGTCGTGCGCGGTGCGGAAGGGAGGGAGGGCTCACAGCTGGTACCACTTCTTGTCCTTGTACTTGAGCATGAGCTGGTGCGCCGAGGAGGAGAACTCCGCGGCCTGCGAGTGCATGCGCTCGGTGCGGTCCTCGAGCTGCGAGAGCTTGTCGCCGCGCTCCAGCACCAGCTGGTGCGCGCGCGCCACCTCCCCGGCGGCCGAGCCCGCGCGCGCGCTCATCACCTCGATGGAGCCAGTCTGTCCCGGGATGTGCTTCGCCACCGAACGGTTCGGCTTGCCGCTGCCCTCGCCGACTGCAACGCAATCATACCGTCATCAGTTCAGTTGTTGTTTCACCATAAATGCACACATTTCTACGCTTCTCTGCACGGATTTATTAATTTAACATTTATAAATCTGTACAATGCAGAGAAAATTAAAAACGAGTTCATTTTGTTGTTCAAATTGTAGATTTAGATTGTAGTTTTAAAAACAGTTTATTATATTTTATTACAAAAGTTGCGGCATCGAGTCAAGCCTATATCAAAAAACCATCATACGTAAATTTGTAATTCCAAGTGTCTCTTCAGTAAGTAACCAAATTTATTAGAACGTCAAGGGTAGAATTATACTGATCACAATTCCTCTAACTGCCCTATCTGATATAAGAGTCGTGAAGGTATATTATTACGTTGATAATACTTTGAATAGTCATAAAACGAAACTGCAAGTATTAATGCAACTCACAAAGTTCCTCCCTGTCGAGGGGTCTCGAGCCACCTCCGAAGAGGCCGCGGAAGAAACTCTCCTTGGGAGGCTCCGGCATGTCGCGCGGCAGGAACAGTTCGCCTATCATCTCGTTCAGTTGGTAACTAAAATACAACACAAATACCACACCATAAGCTTAACATAAACATTATAAAAGAGTATCAAGGTAGGCTTTGTACTTAGGATTTGACTATTTGCTTTTACAATAGCATATGCTGGTGGTCACTCTATTCTCCCAAATTTGAAATGAATCTGTATTATTGTAAACATGTACAATATGGGACACAGTCTCCTAGATACATCAAAATAATAATTGCATTTAATAATGCCTAGCAAGACAAATTCAATATTGTCTACTAAGCAACTGTGTCACCCCACCTTACATTTCTCTATTGTTATTTAGTATATAAGATCAATATTTCTATGTACATATTGTCAGTTTATTATCATCTGTAATATACATCGTCTCGACCAACAACATAGTATGACTCACCCGCAACATACAACATTTATTTGAAAAGAATACGAGCTGAGTTTCTTATTCAGTACTAGTTCTTCTCATCTCGAAATCATTCCGAACTGACGGTAGATTTGACATATCATAAGAGTCTGTAATAGACCTACATGAATAAAAATATTTTGAATTTGTTTCGCCCAAGTATCGCCGTCTCAATTATGTCTTGCAACAAAGAACTCTTTGTAGATTGTAGAAGTTAAAGTTCTGAGGTACGGGCGCATCAGACCGTAGTTCTCTAAAATGGGAACACATGTGAGGTAGGTACTGCAAGGATCACATCATCTCGTGAAACTATTCACGTGTATTGGTGACGGTTATCAATTGTCATCAAGTCTGTCCATCGATCCATTCCAATCCCAGTTACAAAATTCTATGTATAATATGTATGTATTTACAAAAAAAAAAAATATCTATGTATTCGTATCAGTTACCTAGTACCCATAACACAAGCTTTAGCTAGCTTAACTTGGGTCTAGATGGCGCTGTGTGAATTGTCCTGAGATTATTATTATTATTATTATTATAACACACGTTATTCGTGGTCACACAATTAACAAGCTACTCTATTTTAAGTGTAGACTTACCAGAATTCAGCATCCACTGTGAACTTCTGTATTTCAGTGGGAGAGGCGAGGTATAGTCCATGGCCCCGGTTGCTAAAGCAGAAGGTCTTCGCTATCCTGCAAGCCAGCACATAACGTGATCATCACACGACCTCTCCATGATATGCATCACGTTTTAAATTTCAGAAACTGGCACCGCGAGCTTGATGTATGATAGCTTTATGCCAACTAATATTACGAAATGTTAATTGAAATATAAATTTAAAAATTATGTTGATATTGAAAATTTATTGAATTAAAATTAGTTTAACAGTCTCTCACCTGGATGTCTCCTCTGAATTCATAAAGTTGTGAAATAAAATGTCTAAGAACATGTAAACTAGGGATGCAGTTTTATGCATTCACATAGAAAAGAGTGCGGATAAATATTCAACAAATATAAGGAAACAATCAAAAGCTGTCATGCTAAAGCCAAATCAGAAACGATATCGAACTACGGAGCTCAGCGAAGAAGTTCCAGAGACTACAACTAGAAGGCCGCGTACATAATATAAAAACAGTATAGATGAGTGTCAAGTGGACATGTAGTTGTGGACGAGCTGTTGGTGTTGGTGTGTGCGTGTTCAATAAACGAGTATCAGAAACGACGTACAAACAAGTGAACCGACAGTAGGTACGTACTAAATGGTCAAGCAAAGTTGCAAGCAACGCTCGGGATAGGGCAAATCATACTGACGCGGTGGCAAGTGCACTTGGTTTAGGTTAGTTTTTTTTCTTTGCAAATTAGAAATGTTTCGTGTCATGATAGCATAATTTGCCCACAACCGACCGACAGGATTGTTCTTAGAACAGGGGGCGGGGAGTGAAGCTCTCAAGGTTACATGAACAATACATGTCTCTAAAGAACGCAACAGAGGCCGGAGTGAGCGACTCCACATAACATAGTGACGGTACGTGACTAACGCATGTCATCTGTATGGACGGTGACTTACTGGTCCGTGTCCTCGTTAACAATCAGTTGTTGGCCCCATATGGAGAGCATTGGGTCTACGATACCCCTCTGTTTGGACTGTGTCTGGAAGCTACCAGGAACACAGATGGCGGTCAGTATGCGCTCGCAGTCGGCGCGTCCGCTAACTTTGTAGGAAACAAAGCCAGCGGACGCCCCGAGTCTTCATTAGTCATATAGTCGTTGTGCTAGTGATTGTGGTGCGGTACACGATAGAGGTCAATCCGAGACGGTGGATGCAGGGGACCGCTACTCTGAACTCTATGTCGAAACCGTTGGTATTAAAATACAATTAAGGGGTTCAATTTGGAAACAGTCAGCGTTCGGTATACAGTTTAAATACGAGTGTATGACAGGTTGGGTGAGTGTATATACATCGATCGAGTTGCAGCACCATATTCAGATATTAATCGTTACAACGTGGAACGGTGTAATATTATTGTGGGCAATTTGTACCGAGGTGTGTTGCAGTGGTGTCTCGGGGAATGTCTTAAAGTTACAACTGAAAATATAGATAAAGAGTGCCAAATATCGGAAGCACAGGTGGTGCTCGACAGATTTGCAAAATTTCGTCTACATTGTGATGAGAAGTAGCGCGGCTAGCGTCAAGTGGCCGGCGGTGAGCTCACCTGCGCGGGAGACACCTCGTCGCTCGTTCGGCACAAGGCTGGCCCTCGCTAACCAGCTATGGATATAGTACAAAAGTAGAGGGATGAGATGCGATGCGAGCATTCTAGAGAGCTCGCCTTGCACCGAACGAGGCTACACTTTCTAACATCGACCGTAGGTACAGGAAGTCTGTCTTGAGGCTCCCAAATGATAAAGTAGCTCTAAATTAACATGGCTCCCGGTGAATGATCAAGATGAATGCCGATGAGATCCGTTAATGGCAAATCGTGACGTAAAACAGAGCATTCACATAACGGATGAGTCTGCGAAGCTATTTATAGCTAAACAGCTGAAATGTAGTATAAAATAAGCCGTTTATCATTTAGTGCCTTCGGTTGGTGCACAGAATCGTCTAGTGGTGATCGGTGTGTCACGGGACAGTCTATCGTGAGCCTCGAGAGGCGACACCAACGCAACGCCCAGTGGGGCCGCAGCCGCGCCCGCACCCCTCCACGCGCGCGTCCCCCACTGGCGATATACCATCAATCCGTTCTTGAACTGAACCAAACAGTTTCTTAAGTTGTGTTCTCAAATGATTGGTAAGTAAATAATATTTTGAACGTAGGTTTCAAAAGACACATTCACTTCAAGATCGGATGTCTTATATAGGAGTAGAGAGAGAGTAACGAGGCGGAAGACTCACCTAAGCTCTGAGAGAGGAAGGAAGTCAACGTCTACGAGCGGCCGCAGGGAAGGCAGACTGTACGCGACCAGGTGGCCGGTCGACAGGTAATTGACGAGACATACACTATCTGGAACGCCAAGTGGCAGAACAAAGTATTAAGTTCTATACTCTGCGACCGACGTGGGTAGTCGAAATTAAAAATAACTCTTTGGACACAGGTATGTATTAAATATATCTCAAAATATTATTGCACAATAAGATAATTAATTAAATCCACGCTAGGTGACGCGCGGTCCATTTCAAACTCTCCTACATGACTGTGTCCATATAAAATAATAGTTTCAGCATATAGTTTTGGGGTATCAGCCGATCGCTTCGGAAGCCAATACCTAGGGGGCTAGAGGCACGCGGGTTAGGTCGAGAGAAGAAGATACAAGGTCCCGGCACGGTACCTTTCAGGCTGACGATCTCCGCTTTGACGACGAAGTCCGTGTCGACGATCTGCTGCCGGTAGACACAGTTCTGGCTGGGCAGCGCCACGACGCGGGCCTGTTTCTCGGAGGCCACCACCACGAACTGGCGGTCGGCGGCCGGAGGGGGCTCGGGCGCCGGCGTGGGACTCATGCGGCTGCCGCTGCCGCTGGAGCCCTGCTTCGTGGGCGTGCGCTCCCGTCGCTCGCGTGCCTGCATCACCACACCCTCACTAACCCGTAGTTCACTACCCTTACCACTTGCTACTTTCACTGCTCACTACCACGCTTTCACCCCTGATGATTCATGTCTAAAACTCATATACCAGAAAGATACTCGGTACAAAATTGTTTACGAGATTGCTTAAGTCTCACTCAGTGGCGTAGCTACCTAGGGGCTAGGTTAGTGCCCCGGGGCCCTCGAGCCCTTACCAGAAAATCACGAACTGAACTTTTAAAAATTTCTCCCATTTTCAAAATAAATATGACATGTTTGCAATTCATGGTAACTCAGTTGAGCGAAATTGGAAAGGAAATAGGAAAATTCCGTCTGTGGGTTGGCAGTGTTCTTAATTTGATAGCGATATGTGCGTTTTAATAAAACTGTAATGCAGGAAAATAGGAATATATAGAATTGTAAAATAGGGTCCCACTGCTCAGCAGTGGGGCTCCATTTTTTTATTTACCTTAGGGCCCTTGGTTACTAACACCACTGGTCTCATTTATTTCTTCCTGCCTTCAGCAACTTGTTTCGCAAGTTGTGTTCCGATTTAAATAATTCATTAAACATCCGCATAGGCGTTAACCCTGACTAGGCTTCAGAAATGTTTTATATTATGCCCAATTTACACTCAGCCCCAGTGGGCAGGGAAGTGAGCAGCGCGAGAGTGTAAACACGAGTGGAAACACTTTCCATGCCATTGGCGCTGCCACTCGCGCTGCCCGGCGCTCCCTCGATTTTCGGTTTTTCGTGCGCGAGTCAAAGGACTGGCAACGCGAGTGGCAGCGTGTTTTTACATTCAGCCCTCTCGCTCAGTTGACGCCCGGCAATATTTCCGGCAGCGCGAGTGGCAGGGGAAGCGGCTGAATGTAAACGTAGCACTAACTTTCACGGGAGTCTATTATACTTTGAAATTTGTTACTAAGTACGCCAGCTTGTTAACCAAACTCAAACAAAATGTGCTTAGCATGAACACTAGATGTACATGCTAAGCACTTTGTAGGTAGGTCGCAAAATATTGGTTATCACAAATATTCATGGTACATGTGAATGAGCATAGTAGCAGCATACTTTCTACAGGTGCCACCTTTAGTCCTTGCAACTTCTTAGAACTCTTATCTCACGGTACGTGTAACATTAGCAACGCAGCTGCGAGACCTTCAAGCTGTTGTTACTAGCACTATGCAGGTCTAGTAGTGGTCGTGTGGCGCGGCGTGGTGGGTCGGGTCATTGGGCTCACTAAAATATGGTCGAGCGCAGTGATGGCTGGCTCATCCGTCATACTCGTGAACGAGTGCTGCTTGTATGGACTGGTCTGCTCTTATCACTACGACTGATTTAATCTTATTGCATATTTATATTTGACCCAAAAAATTTGTGCTTGCTGGTAGTTTGTATTCACGCGTTTGGACTTGTAAGTGTAAACTTACAAAGATTATTTAAAAGAGCAATACGCAAGTTTCTTGCTCGTTCTTCTTGTGATGAGACAGCTTTCCGAACGAGTGGTAGATAAAAAACAAATTGTTATGACTATTCAAAAGTGCTTAAATTAAGTTTATTTGAATAAATGATTTTCTTTTCTATTCTATTTAGAGAATTACCAACTTGCTACCAATAACTCTTTCAGCAGCGTTCATACGTATATAACGTTATTTTGATTTTACTCACATCCTTGCTGTCGTCCTTCCAACTTTCGTATGAGTAAGGGATTAAAGCACCATTGCAGTCAAGAAATGACATGGTCAAAATTGACCCTCTTAACCTAAATAACGGACCACCTGCAAGCAAAAACTCGGAATTAACTTTTGCAAAAAGAAATAAAGAGCATCGTTGTCTTGTATTTTACTATCCTATTGGAATAGATAAAGGTTATAAGTTCGAACCTGGTCGATATTAAAAAAAAAATCACAAGTTTATATATTTACTAGCTGTATATCGCGACTTCGTCCGCGTGGAAATTAATTTTATTTTTCTAAAATAAAAGTAGCCTAAGTTACTACTTATTACATTAGCTATCTGCCAAAAAAAGTCCCGTCAAAATCGGTCCAGCCATTTCAGAGATTAGCCGGAACAAACAAACAGATAGGCAAAAATTGTAAAAATGTTATTTTGGTGTATGTACCGTATTTATATTCGTATGCATGTAGTAAAAAACGGTTATTTCAATATTACAAACAGACACTCCAATTGTATTTACATGTATTTAATTCTATTTGTAGACATGAATATAATTACTCTGTTTTAGGTTTGATGCGGTCATTATTTATAAGTACAATTACTACGTTTTATTTTTGTATGTATGTATGTATGTATGTATGTATGTAATAACCGTTTTTTACTAAATATACATATAATTACTCCGTGCGTAAAATGTTGTTATCATATTTACCACTGGTGGAGACAACGACGGGCTGTGTGTGCCTCTGATCGGCTTCAGGCAGATTTATCTTCATTGTGAGCACAGACCCCAAAGTAGTTCCGATCCATAGCGTCGGCACCAGTTGCGTAGGATCTGGATGCGAAAGTCAACGATACTTTTTCAAAGAACTCCTTTTACTTAGGTAACTAGCTATTCCCATCTGCGTGTAATTTAATTTTATTATTCTAAAATAAAAGAACTTTTCTAAAATAATAGTAGCCAAGTTACTCCTTATTACATCAGCTACCTGCCAAAAAAGTCCCGTCAAAATCGGTCCAGCCTTTTCAGTGATTAACCGGAACAAACAGACTGACAAACAGACAGGCGAAATTGTAAAAAATGTTATTTTGGTGTACGTGCCCTATTTACATTCACATGCATATTAAAAATATTACAAACAGACACTCCAATTTTATTTACATGTATAGATTGGAATTGCAAAGAAGCTGACGGTGATAATTATAATCTCTTTAAAATCTATTAATATTATTACAACTATTATATATTATTTTCTAAACTAGAATATATTTAACGCTATATAAAGTATATACAACAGCTACTCACCTGATTTGGTAGTGTAACTATCGGCAAATGCAAGGAACTGTATGCCTTCTTGGGAGATGTTTTCTAGACTTGACATACTGCTGGAGCGCGACCGTGAGAACGAACTGTCCAGCTTGTCTACCCGGCCGGTTGGCAACACAACAGAACCAGATTACTCTCTCCGTATCGAGGAGACATTCTAAAAGCTCAATAGCAGCCGCACTCGACGCCTCCTAGTGAACTTTTAGTACACCTTTGGCGATTCAAGGTTTTAAACGTCTTAATGCTGAAGGATTCAAACAAGTCTTTAATGTTGCACGCTTGAATTCGTCAAAGTGCTACTCTACAAGTTGCAGGCTAAAGCTAGCTGGAGATCATGAGCTCAGTGTTGTCGGTGCAGTCGTGAAATTAGCTGAAATCACTCCGGTGCGACAAACAATCGTACGGTGCCTTACAGAAAATAGGAACAGATCATGAACAAATCAGAGAATCATGCATCAGAGTAGAGCCGATTTGCGCCTGCATGCCCGTCCAATCTCAGCTTATTTACACAACGGTTTTATATGTTAGTAATTTAGCCCAGTTTATTTCGGTTAGAATGGTTAGGTGCCTTGACTTGCAATGGTTCAACGATACAGGAAAGGTAGTCGGTTAAGATACATCAGCGAGGAACAACAGTCAAAACACCGGCCACGGTTAATATTCCTCGATTTTATATAATCTTAATCATAGCACATTGAGAAACAGCACTACATGATAATGTTGACGGCAAATGGGAAGCACTGAGAGAAATGTGAGAACGAAACGTCGAGACTTTGCAACACAAATTGGATGAGATGACAGATGGAGTGTGATGGTGTCTAGGTCGGCAGGCGAAGCGGGACGTCCCCGTTTGTAGCTGTCTAACTAAGCATCCCACTATTAGAACCCTCTAAGTTAACCCTCTAGACAAAGCGCAAACTGTTTGGATATCGTATAAGCGGGCAGATAAGGAGAATGGGGGAAGAGCGTTCGGTGGCGGTGACAATGGAATGGAGTGGAGTGGAGACACTGGACGCTGGGCGTGAGTTGGTGGGGTTTTGTAGATTTGGTAGCAGCGTCGCATGGACGGACAGACAAGTCTAACGTGTAGCGGTGAGGGAAGGGTGCAGCGGTCGGGAAGCGCATGCAACTATTGCGTTATTAGTAAGGATAGTATCGGAAGCATACATAGACATAACGACAGCCGTATATAGAGGCAGCCAAAAACGAGCCATATAAACTTTTTGCTTTGTGGTCGCGCTAGAAAAAGAAACATAATATCATGTACTGAGCGGTAGAGGTTAGTCAAAAGGTAGTATAAGAACGGTCTGATTCGAGCGAGTGGCAGTGATCGCCGGCGAGCGTGGCGCCGGCCCAGCGGTGGGACGCGAGCGTGGGCCGGCGACGGCAACAGTCAGTCGCACACACACACAAACAAACGCAACGTGATCGCTCGTGCTGACACACAGACGGACCACGTCCGCCGTCTCACACAAACAAACAATAAATGTATAAATTATTATGTATAAATATGTCATACTATGCGTTTGATACAATATGGAAAGCATCGCTTATATAATGCACATATAACATACAACAGGGTCCGTTCATCGTACACTGAATATTATGCGGTATATATAATATAGATACTAGAAGTAAGTAGATAGTTTTGAGTAGTAAGTCACCTTTTCATGATACTAAGAGTCATGCCAGTCCAAGTCGTATCGCCGAGTGCAAACCAAGTGTCGTGTGAAGAGAGAATATGGCAACACAGTCACAGCCACAATTTCGACTCTAACGGATACGTAACAACTACTAGGTGGTACCTACGTGATGTACGGGGCCGCGGCCCGTGAACAAGCTACCGAAACAAACGAAACCATCCACAAAAATATAAGAAATATATGGAATAATAATAATAATAATATATATATATATAAGTAAGAGTGAATGCAATGTTGGATACCATTGGGTTGCATAATGTGTAAGTACTCCATAGATGCGAGAGACTGCGGAATAGTTGGTTCTGTACCGACAAATAAACCACACATGTTACAAGCACGGTCGCGGACGGCGGGCGGCGGGCGGGCGCGGCCGGGCTCGAGGCTATGCGTCCGGCCCGGCCCGGACCGGTGCGTCCGGTCCGACCGTCCGGCCCGGCCGCGCCCGCCGCCGCCCGTCCCTGGTGTGTGGGTACAGCGACGGTCGACTCGTGAGACGACACGCACAACATTATACACCATTTATAAGAGATTAGGATATCATTCTAGAAGTTGACATGAGGTACAACAAAGGAAAAACACTACTCGGAATAACAGCTAGAAATTAAAATGTTAACCAATGTAGGTGTGGTATATTCCAGTGATTACCTATTAAATGATTCCGATCTGAAATTGGAAATTGTTCAAATGAATAATAGAGAAATTTTGAATCAACGCATGCTTCGCAGCAAGTAATGATCAGTCACTAGTGAGTTCAATTCGATTTACTGCAATCAGTGATCGGTGGGCGGGCGGAGAGAAAGCCGATGCCAATTCAACAAGTATTTTTAGGCTACATATTTCATTATAAGTTATGGAAGTTACTTAATTATTAGTTTTGAATCTGAAGACTTTTGTCGAGGGCGCCGTAGAAGCAGATAAGTATGTGGACGATGTCGACGCGCGTGTTCAAATTCCAAACTAATATTTTGAATCAGTAATGAAAGAAGTAAGTAAGTGAGTGTGAAAAACTAAATAAAAAAATAAAATAAAGAGAAACTATAGAAAATAAGACAAGGAACCAACTAGTACATTCGACGGTCCGTCGGAGCCGGATCGTCGAAGAAAAAAACGGAACTGAATCGAACGAAACCGAAACAAAAGTAACGGAAGGAGAAATTGCGACTGCGTCAGAACGGAAAGAGACGAGGCCGCGGGGGCGTCGAGTAAGGTGACTGTACTACCAAAACTGCAATACTGTCGCGTCGTCAGCAGAGAGTGCTGCGGGGCGGGGGGCGCGGCGTACACGTCGGACGCGGTGGACAGGCACTTGTGCAGTTTGCGGGTACCTTGCGACCGCGAGCGCCGCACGCGGGCCCCGCCGCCCCCCGCGCCGCCCGCGCCGCCCCCCGCGCCCGCGCCCGCGCCCGCGCCGCCCGCGCCGCCCGCGCCCGCCGCCGCCCCGCCGCCCGGCCCGTTCATCTACAACACACACAGCTGCCACCACCCGCCCGCCACCCGCCACCCGCCACCCGCCACCAACACCGGTCAGCACGACGGACCCCGGCCCGTTAGTGGAGCGCGATCTCTGTGCGAGACCGCTCGGTTAGTGCATGATGAGCCCCGGGGAGCGAGGCCAGTGGGCGTACCTATGCGGCGTCGAGTCGCCGGCGACGTCGAGTGCGCGCCGCCGTCGTCCCGCGTCGGACACAGCCACGCCGCCGCCCGCCCTGGGGACGCGCACAGTGAGCGGGGCCGCGCGGACGTGGGGCGCCTCCGCCCCGCCCGGCCCCGCGCGGCCCCGCCTGGCCCCGCCCGGCCCCACGCGACCCCACCCGGCCCTGCGCGGCCCCGCCCGGCCTGCGAGCCGCCGGAGAGCTACCCAACGGGGACGTGCACGGCTAGCACGCGACTACTCGGTTTGTATCATTAGCGAGTTAACATCTCAAACGGACATCGACAACACAGAGATCACCTACGGCACTCGAAGCGGTGGATTACATCAGTACAGTTACCGAGTAAGTCAGCGAATAGATCTGTAAGGCAGTTAGAGTCCCCGTCGGATGAGTCCACGTCCTTGGGAATAGAAAACAGATACATGTGTGAGTGTCCCGCTTCGGTTCCGCCGACGGGTCGCGGGGTGGTGTGGGTGCGAGTGCGGCCGACCGTCGCACGGTGTGCGCACACAGACACGAGATCGCACACACAGGTGTCACACATTTACGCACGCATCTTATATGTATACACGCACGACAGGATATAGTAAATAAAAATAAATAAGCCAAGTATCACAAGAAGCGGGAAGCGGTTAATAAGAGGTGGTCGTCCACTCGCACTCTCTTTAGTTTTACATCTACGGATCTGTTAAAAGAAACAAACTTGTCGTTAAATATCTTAACCGTTATTCTGCATTATTACACACCACACTGTAATATTGTCAAGGATCTAGCTACCATCACCTCTATTCAGCTAAAAACCTCTATCTATGTATTAAAAGGGGACTACGGGGAGGGATTAGTAAAAATTGCCAAACCTTTACCATTCCAATCGTAAGTGTTTCGAATGAGATCTAAGTAATCAAAGGTACAGTCTACTCGTATGTTACAGCGATACCGCACTAGGTGCTACGCAGCGGCGATTGGTGATTCCGGCGTTAGTGATGACGGTGAGGTGATCGCGCGGGATGACTCGGTACTTACTGAAACGCCGCATCAGGCTGCCGGCGAACGAGGCCTGCGCCCCCGGCCGCCGCCGCTCGCGGGCGCCCTCCTGCTTACTGAACTTAATGTTGGGCACCGACAGCAGTCTCTGGTCGCGCTTGTCCGGCCGCTCCGCCCTGTCCGGCCCGTCCGGCTTGGCGCGCCGCGGCGGCCGCACCGGTCGCTCGTCCGCCGCGTCGTCGGGCCGTTCGGGCTCGTCCGGCCGCGCGTCCGGCCGCGTGTCCGGCCGTCCGTCGAACAACGGTAGGTTGTCGGGGCGCGCGGCGCGCTCCGGGGACGGGCCGCGCGCGGGCTCCGCCTCGGGCCCCGGCGGGTGCTCCGCGTCCGGCTCGCGCCCCTCCTTGTCCTGCCAGCGCTCGTGCAGCTCTCGGTGCATGCGGTCGTACACGTCGCCCGAGCGCCGCTCCTGCAGCTCGCGGTGCATCCGCTCGAACACGTCCGAGCACACCCGCAGCGGCGACGCCAGCCGCCCGCGCTCCTCGTCCTCGGCCTCCGGCGACTGCGCGGCCGACTCGCTCGTCTCGGGCCTCTCGACCGTCTCGCAGTAAAATCGGGACTCTCCCTTCTCGATCGCGACGTCGCTCTCGGCGGGCGTCGAGAACGCGGCCTTCAGCTTCAGGTCCACCCGGGAGAGCTGGCGCTTGAGGTTGAAGGTCTTCCAGGGTGTGGACTTGCGGCGGACGTCCGTCTTGGGCGCGTCGGGCTCGTCGCCGGGCTCGGCGGGGCTCGGCGCCGGCGCGGGCCCCGGGCCGCTCTCCTCCAGCTTCGGGGACACGGGAGGGGAAAACGTCATTGGTGAGGCGGAGGTCGCGCGACCGCCGAGACCGGTTCATGAGATCGTGCAAGAGTTTATGGGATGCTGTGAGGCGAGGGGTGGACGACGATATAGCTACGGTCTCGCTCGCCGCTGCGCAGCGACGTCGACGCGCCGCCGTCGGAGGCGACGTCGCTCGCAGCGCCCGAGGGCGAGCGCGGCCGGGGACGGCGCGGAGCCGCCGCGACCGCCGGGGGGGACGGGCGAGGTGCGAGGGACTAGCGATGCCATGCCGGGTGCGGCTACGGGCGCGGGCCGGGACGCTACGGGTACTCATAAAAAAAAAGTGGAAACAATAGTGACGGCGACTCGCCCGTCGCGGAGCAACTGATCAGAACGAGGGGATCGGCAAGGGAAGCGGGCGCACCTGGTCGAGCGAGGGCGAGCGCTGCCGCTCGGAGCGTGCGGGCGCGTGGTGCAGCTGCGCCGCCGCCAGCGCCGCCACCACGCCGCGCCGCCACACGTCCGCCACCACCACGCCGCGCTCGCCGCCCCACGCCATCCTGACACACCGCCACCGCCGCTCATCACTACTCTCATCGTGCCGCCACACGCGCTACGCTCCATCCACGTGTACGGGGGCGGATCGTGAATTTGTGGGGCTCTGGGGTATATCTACTTAGGGGCCTACCTATTTATATTATTCAACTAAAAAAATACACCGACCAGAAATTCCCCGTTCCTTTCGATAGACGTGTACTCGCATGGGTTGATTGATCTCAGGGTTGCCAACCTTATGATAGGTTTTTTAACATTCTAGATATTTTTTTATATTCTAAATATCGTTTCAGTGGTTACTCAGGGCCCTTTGTGTCCTCGGGGCCCTGGACTGCAGCTCAAAAAGCCCTTAGGTAGATCCGCCCCTGCACGTGTAGATTGCAAATGTATTCATTCTTTAGTAGTCATTTAACATATCAATTATATATATATAGTTTATTGTATATATACCATCCTCATTTCAGCTGTATAGTTACCACCGTTCGCAACTAGCTAAACTTGGGTCTAGATGGCGCTGTGTGAATTATTAAGATTAAGATTATTATTATTATTTGTATAGTTCTGGGTATTTTCTAAGTACATTATGTATGTATTTATAATAAAAATGTATTTAAGTCTTTACATCAGTCATCTGGTAGCCATAACACAAATTAGCTTAGCTTCGGACTAGATGGCGTTCTGTAATTATATATTATAAATTCGGGGGAGTGTGTCGATATTCTTACCACACTTTTATATTACAATTGTTATGTTATTATTCTTCAATAATATTGTACACATGTTTATTAAAAAACTATTTTCAATATATGTTCATAGGCTTTAAATGTATTTTTTATGTAATACATTGGCAGCAATAGATGTTTCTTAAAGAATTGAAGAAAAAAGAAATTATTGAATTGTGTTTGGAGATTATTCTTCATTCATCTATTGCTGCCTATGATTATTAATTTTATTACATTTATTGTAATATAATGTATTACGGTATAAGTGCGTTATGACGGTTATAACACACGAGCTGGAATTCCAGCTCGAGCCGTAGGCGAGGGCGTTATAGAGCCGAGTGTGTTAAATATGCACGTACATCGTAAGACGCTTCTCAAGACACTTGCCAGAAAAAAACGCACAAAATCATTATATTATATTTTAACTGTTTGAAAACTGTTGCTTTCCCGCCGTTTTACTTTTTTAATTCAACGCTGCCGTACTTGTTGGCTCCGTGTAGCGGTCTTTTGTAATTTAATAAAAAAAAAAAACAAATAGCGCGGTTATGGAATATAACTTTACTATTTGTGTTACGCACGATTATTTGAACTTTTTATATATTGAAAATTGGTAAAATTAAATTCATTTTAAGAGCAAGTGTGTTGAAAAATATAGAGTAATGTTAAAAGACAGTAGAGTAGAGTAGAATGGTGAGTATTGAGTATTAAGTGTTGAAAGAATAGAAAAGAATAGAACATCATTTCAAGTAAACTTAGTTTAACTATTTTTGAATAGTCATAGTTATCATTCTTTTAATCTACCGCTCATTCGGAAAGCTGTCTAATCACAAGAAGAACGAGCAAGAAACTTGCACGTTGCTCTTTTAAATAATCATTGTAATATTACATTTCCAATTTGAAATATGCGAATACAAACCACCAAGTAGCACTAATTTATTAGGTTCAAATATTAAGTACATAATAGGATTAAAACAGTCGTAGTGATAAGAGCAGACCAGTCCCTACAAGCAGCACACGTTCACGAGTATGACGTATGAGCCAGCTCGAATATATGTCGAGCGCAGTGATGTTAGGGAGCTCAATGACTCGGAGTTGAGTGTTGAGTAATGTGAAAAGAGAGTAGAGTGGTGAGTGGGGATTGGTGAGTGGGGATTGGTGAGTGGTGAGTGGGGATTGGTGAGTAGTGAGTGATGAGTGATGAGTGGTGAGTGTTGAATGATGACTGGCGTGTTGTGACTGGTGAGTGTTAAGTGATGACTGGTGTGTTGTGAGTGGTGACTGTTGAGTGATGAGTGATGAGTGTTGAGTGATGACTGGTGTGTTGTGAGCGGTGACTGTTGAGCGAGACTGACAGTCCGTAGGAGGAGTTGAGCGTGAGCGCGGCGACGGGCGCGGGCGGGCCCAGCTGCAGCGCCACCAGCGCCGGCTGGAAGCCAGCCGCGCGCCGCACGCCCCCCGCCCCCGCCGCGCCCCGCACCCGCACCCCGCACCCGGCCCCGGGCCCGGCCCCGGACCCGCCCTGCACCAAACACACCCGCACAGTTCAATTTACACAGATAATGAATGCAGAAAGCTAATATCTTCTTATATATAAAATTCTCGTGTCACAATGTTAGTTACCGTACTCCTTCGAATTAGCTTGACCGATTTTTATTAAATTTTATATGCATATTCAGTAGAACTGAGAATCGGCTGCTATCTATTTTTCATACCCCTAAGTGATAAGGATTTTCCACCCCTAACATTTATGATTATTTTTTTATTATGTGTCATTAAAAAATACAAGCAACCCTAAATTTTCACCCTTCTACCATCGACCCCTATTTTTTAATAGCTATTTTAATTAACGTGGCAAAACAACGTTTGCTGGGACAGCCTTTTTACCTTATGCAAGCCATTGATTCATTCAATTACTTAACGTCTAAACTGAGCTATCTTCTTTTTGCCTCTGTTCTGGAACCCGACCAAGGGAGGGCCTTGGCCAGAACGGAGGCAATCCTTTTCAGGCCCGACCAGAATGTAAATGAATAAATGAGACGCCCGTAAAACTCTTATGTAATTCAGGATATATAAGATTTTACATCCTCGTACCTAGTAATCTCCCTGCCCAACGTAAACATATTATTTATTTATTTTCAAACACAAATATTATAAAGTTGATTTGTTGTTATACATTGGACCCCGCACTAGGCGAACATGTATCACGGAAGTCCATAGAGAATTGCCAGATTTATTTATTTATTCATTTAGATGATTAGTAACTATTACAGATCAGCGAGTAGAGTAGATGTGACATATCAGACGAATGAAGATATTTTAGTTTAACTTCATAAAAACATTCCAGAACAATTGTTGATTACATAAAAAGAGAAATTTCAAGTCTACAATCAACTTAACAATTTTTTTTTAATTTCCTTCTTGCGATGATATGTGCAAATCTATTAAACAGCTTACAAACAACTCTGGTACTCTCCCAGAATACTTTCAAGTAGTTCTCTGTAGGGCTGTGTTGTGAATACTGACCCTTCTCGGGTCCGCTTCGGGCGGCAGGCTACGGCCGGCCTCCGCCTCGGGGGAGGGCTCCTCCTCCACCGAGTCTGTTATCACAGGTATCTCCAAAACCTACCGGGAATAGTCACATCACAATTTTATTATATATATTCAAACTAAAATTCAAAAATCATTTATTCATGTAGGACATTTTAGCCGCTTATGAACGTAATGTTTTTACATTATAGTTTTTTTTTTCCTACCGTCCAGTTCGATATATAGATCCAATTGAGAAAAACTGGCAAGATACTCAATTGATTTTTTTAAAGCAAGTTTATTTACAATTTATATTTATATAGGTGTCTATGTCTAACATTACATGAAAATCTGCATGAACAACTATTGCCATGCACGCTCGTCATTCAAGTAATCGTTTAGTGAGTAATAGGCTTTGCTCAGTAAATATGATTTAACAGATGTTTTGAATATATTTAAGGGTAAATCCAACATATCCTTTGGTATCTTATTGTAAATTTTTATACCTATTCCCATAAAAGACCTATTAACTTTTTCTAAACGATACTTGGTGACTATTAACTTTGTTTATATGTGATGTAAACTAGCCGAAAACTGGACTGTTTCTTAAACTAGTTTCTCGAAGAGGTTAAACAGTCTTCTTGCGTTGATTGTAAAATCTTCCACGTCCCACCACGCAGCCATACAGCCTCCGCCTCCGTTTAGCGGAGCGCTTACTCTCCTTAGCTTCTGATGGTCGTGGGTTCGATTCTTAGCACGCTGCACGGTTTGGGATAACAGTTTAGGTGGTGGGTTCTATTCCTTGTACGGTTTGCGGTAACTCACGTGCGTCTCTGCGACGGTGTCGGCCTTGCGGAACTTGAACAGCACGACGTGTCCGTGCGGCAGCGCCACCGCCAGCCGCCGCGACTCCGCGCACAGCGCCAGCTGCTGCACGCTCAGCCACGCCTCCTCCGCGCCGTACGCGCCCCCCGCGCCCCCCGCGCCGCCCCCTCGACGCTCGAACACTGACCACCAACAACCATTAGAACGAGGGAGATCTTGGATCGGTTACATATCTAAATATATATAACTCAAAGGTGACTGACTGACGTAGTGATCTATCACCGCACGGCCCAAACCACTGGACGGATCGGGCTGAAATTTGGCATGCAGGTAGATGTTATGACGTAGGCATCCGCTAAGAAAGGATTTTGATCAATTCTACCCCCGAGGGGATAAAATAAGGGATGTTTGTCTGAAACTTTGTCAATTTTAAACCGATCGGGCTGAGACTTTGCATGCATAAAGCTACTATGACGTAGGCATCCCCTAAGAAAGGATTTTGATAAATTCCACCCCTAAGGGGATAAATTAACGCGAGCGAAACCGCGGACAAAAGTTAGTTTATCTATAAATGTATCTAAATCTCATAACATTTTTTTTGTAATTGTGGATGTCGAAACTTTTTTAAAGCTTATACAGACCGGAAGTTTACCACGATAACAATGTTCATGAACGTCGAAAAATCGAGTTTACAAATAATGTTACAGTGGTAAAATACCGTTTATACAAGTGATTATTTATTATTAAAAACAATATGAATAAAATTTAATAGTTTAAATTTATTTGACGACCTCGGTGGTCTAGCGGTCTAGCACACCGCTTTACGTCCGATGGTCGCGGGTTCGATTCCTCGCACGGCACAAACATTTGTATTCATGAGTATGATTGTTTGTATCGGTCTGGGTATTTTCTATGTATAATATGTATGTATTTACGAAAAAAAAATCTATGTATTTGTATCAATTATCTAGTACCCATAACACAAGCTTTAGCTAGCTTAACTTGGGTCTAGATGACATTGTGTGAATTGTCCAGAGATTATTATTATTATTTTAGGACGATATGAAATAACTAACTAATAACTGTAACATAAATGGAATAAGAAATAAAGATGATATTTAATTGTTTCATGCTGAAAAGAAAAAAAAGTTGTATATTTTTTAATAGTATTTCAGTAAGAGACTCGTCGGCACCGGGGAGTCTTCATGAGGGACTCCTACTACAAGATTTTCTAAAGTAGGCGAGAGTTAATTTATTTTTAACTGCATGCTGCCCACATGTACTCTCTTTCGCATGTAAATAAACTTTTAGGGAAAGTGTGTGACCGTTTATGAAAAGAAATAGAATAGGAAAGAGCCTGTATAGTTCATTGTGGCACTGCACTCACTGGGCCCAACTTTCTGCTGCGTGCTGCTACACCGACCACGACAATGTACCTGTCCCGTCTACATTACGCCACTAAGGAGCAGGACATTGTCGATTATATCCGTACCAAGAGTAACCTGACATTGAGGGTGACGCAGCTGAAGTCGAGTCACAACGCGAGTTTCAAAGCGTTTGTGACCCTGGTCCCCACCGACTTGCTGCCCACCTTTATGAAAGAGGACTACTGGCCGAAAGGTGTGGTATATCGGCGCTACCGTGCCAGATTGCCGTCTTCAGTGCCGTGATCACACAGACTATATCGTTGTATTAGTTTTTAAATATTATATTATATGTATGTTAGTTATAAGGTTTTATAATATGGGCCTAGTTGCCTGAAATAAATGATTAAATAAAAAAAAAAGCGTCTTTTTGCAGTAATTAATCATTGCAAAAATCCCTTATGCAGATTCGCCCGAGTTCCGCCCCACTCTCGGTCGAGGACTACTGCCCCACCAGCCATCTGTTCTATGAGCTACGTGGTCAGCCATTGCCACTTCAGTTACGCAATTCTTCAGGCTAAAGCATCTCTCTATTGAAAGCCCTCTGAGTGATATTCAGCTTATCTATGAGGATACTATGGGCGACCACGTCAATTCATCTTATATATAAGATGGATTGACGTGGTCGTTCTCGTGTCACAGTTTTCGTTCCCATACTTCTCCGAAACGGCTTGACCGATTCTCATGAAATTTTGTGAGCGTATTGAGTAGGTCTGAGAATCGGCCAATATCTATTTTTCATCCCCCTAAATGTTAGGGATAGTCCACTCCTAAATTTTTATTTTTTATTTTTTAGACAAAATTTTTAGTTTCTATTTTTTTATAATACAACATACAAAAATACATACAATCCTAAATTTTCACCCTTCTATCACCAACGCCTATTTTTTTATAGCGTTATTAATTTATATGGCAAAAGAACGTTTGCCGGGACAGCTAGTATATATATAAAATCTAGTATTATATGAAAACACTGGCTAAAATGACAGCAAATCTCACCTTTTGAACATTTCAATTTGTACAATATTTGCACAGTCCCGGCGCTTGCGTCCCAAAATTTGACACTGCCGTCCGCGTGACTGTAACGTAAAAAAAATTGCCGTAAGTACATCTAAATATATATAACTCAAAGGTGACTCACTGACTGACATAGTGATCTATCAACGCACAGCCCAAACCACTGGACGGATCGGGCTGAAATTTGGCATGCAGGTAGATGTTATGACGTAGGCATCCGCTATGAAAGGATTTTGATTAATTCTACCCCCAAGGGGATAAATTAACGCAAGCGAAGCCGCTGGAAAAAGCTAGTACTTTCATATGCATTAAGTGAAAAGCCGTTAATTTGAAATTAGAAATAGACACTTCGATTTTATTTCCAATTAAAATTCAAAATATCTTTATTCATGTAGGTCTATTACAGACTCTTATGATATGTCAAATCTACCGTCGGTTCGGAATGATATCGAGATGAGAAGAACTGAGAAGAAACTCAGCTCGTATTATTTTCAAATAAATGTTGTACATGTTTACAATAATACAGATTCATTTTTTAATTCAAATTTGTGAGAATATAGTGCTCAAAAGCAATTAGTCTAATCAGTGTTCATAACCTGAACAGACCAGTCCCACAAGCGGCACCCGTTCACGAGTATGACGGATCACGTTCACATGTATATATATAATACGATATATTTCGTACCCGGTGAGTATGATCTCGCTGTAGGAACACGAGGCCGGTGCCCATTCTCCGCCGTTGATTGGCCATAACTTCTCGCTGAAGCCTGTGGTTTTTTTGTTAACTTGCCGACCCACAGAGTAGAACGCTGGGATCTGTAACATTTCAAGTTAAATTGTGAATATGTTGTATATATATGACATACAATATCATATAAACTACCCATACAATCAATCTAATACGAAATGTTTATTAACTTATTTTTTATGTACATTTTAAATATATTAACCTTATTAATAAATAAAAGAAATAAATAAATATATATATTCTTTAGTTACTTACATAATATAGTATTATCAATGTAACCTGACATGGAGGTTGACCTCCACGCGGTTTCTCCTCTAATCCATTCTGACAAATTCTTGATGAATAAAATAAACTACTACGAAAATATATTAAATAAAGTAAATCTCACCAGATCTGACGGGCAATCGGCGAAATATGAACAGCAGGTGACTGGCGACTCGTGTATATCCATGGGGTAAGGGTTCTCGAAGCAGGGGTACCCTGGAGACAGCAGGTCGATCACCACCAGGTCGTTCTGCAGCAGCACCACTATTGCGTACGGCTCCTGATAATCTGCAATATGTACGAATAGTCGTGAACGGGTGATCAAAATAGTCATAGTGATCAGGGTCGATCAGTCCCTACAAAGTATGTAGATAGATAAAATTTTTATTCACGTTAACACACATACACACACACACACAAAACACTGTATAATAAAAACAAAAAATAAAAACAGCTATACAATTACATTAGCTAAGTCAACACCAGCACAGTGGAGCACCAGTGGAGGATGATAAGAACATGAGGTCAGGTTAGTCAGTCCATCGTGACCAATTTACCAGGAATTTATCACGATGGTTTCCAGGGGCACCGCGTGGAGGTCAACCTGACATGGTACATTGTTAGCAATAGGGACATTAGTCCACATTACTAACAATCCCCTTACCCCCACCATTCTAACAATGTACCATGTCATGTACCTTCCACACGGTTCCCCCTGGTAATCATCGTGGTAATTTACCATTTACCAAGATGGCTAACCGACTTGACTCTATGCTCATTTTACCATCCTTCCCTGGTGCCCCGCCAACGCAAACCGATAGCTCAGGCGGATGCATCATTATCATCCATAAGGTTTCCAGGGGGAACCGCGTGGATGTCAACCTGACATGGTGCATTGCTAGCAATAAGGTCAATAGGTAAAGGTAGGTAAAGGTAATGTGGATCATTACTAATAATCCCTTTTCCCCCCGGAAGGGATTGTTAGTGATGTGGCCTAATGACTCCATCGCTAGCAATGTACCAAGATAGGTTTTTTTTAGGCAATCAAGCATACGGCCCATCTTATGGTAAATGGTTACCGTAGAACTATGAACGCCTGAAACGCCAGGGGTATCACGTGCGCGTTGCCGACCCTTAAGAAACCTTAATATACCCTTCTTGAAAAACCCCATGCTGTAGTCTCGTGGGAAAACCTCGGCAGGAAGTTCATTCCACAAAGTGTACGCGGGAGGAAGCTCCTCTGAAACCTCACTGTTCGGGACCACTTAGGTTCCAGCGTGTGGAGATGAATTCCCTGTCGATGGCGAGCGGTGCGGTGGTAAAAGGTTAGGTGACTGGACATGGCTGTTTCGGTAAGCGACTGCATGACAAGACTGACTCTACGAGTCGAGCGCCTGCAGTTGCGGGGAATCGGAGGAGGACCTCCACCACGTTGTGTGGGAGTGCTCCCTATACTCCGATCTTAGGGGGAAGCTGCTGGAGGGGATACGTCGCGGTGAAGGCGAAGGAGAGGGTCCGGTGTACTACCCGGACTTGGTGTCTACTGAGGAGAATTTTAGGAGGCTGCGGGAGTTCGCGCATCAGTGGCACCGGAGGCGGAGCGAGTACGAGAGGACTGCTGGCGGTACGCATTCAAGAAGGAGGGCAGCCGCTGAAGACGGAGTACTGCCCGGCACCGAAGCTGTGCAAGTTTCATCCGCTGCCCCAGAAGGGGGAGAAAGCGACAGAGAAATAATTTGTAGGGGTCAAGAGAATGCGTGTTTTTCAGCGCGCATTCCCCGCAGATTCGGCCAGTATAACCGAGAGGTTGGAATGGCCATGGGTTGGTTGAGGTCCCCCTGGAAAATATCGCGATAAATTCCTGGTGAATTTGCAATGATGGACAACTGAGGTCAGTTGATAGTGTCAGTTGATAGTGACAGTTGTAGGGTGTGTTGCGGGTTAATAATAAGATGTTGCTGGTCGAGACGATGTATATTACTGATGATGATAAACTGACAATGTATACATAGAAATAATGATCTTATATACTAAATAACAATAGGAAAATGTAAGGTGGGGTGACACAGTTTAGATACAGCAGTGCCTAGTAGACAATATTGAATTTGTCTTACTAGACATTATTAAATGCATTTATTATTTTATGTATCTAGGTGACTGTGTCCCATAGGGTGATTAGATGAGATTGACCTCAACCTCATCCTACACTGGTGCTCAGCGGAAACCATTAGCACAGGCATCATCCCATAATAAAAATTACACCCTTAAAAAAAATTACAAGTATACCTGCGGCGTGTGGTGTCTCACACAGCGTGACGAAGTCCACCACGCTGTGCTCCATCTCCAGCACGGTGGTGGTTTTGCCGTTCAGCACTGTTATGCTGTGTGTACGGCCAGCCTTATCCGTCGGTAGACCCCCGGAGAATATCACCAGGCTCTCACTGAAACGTTTAAATAACAAAATTATTAAAAATATTTTCTTCAGTATTATATTAGGTCGTTACATATGAAATTGGCGTTTTGTAAGGGAGTAACCTAAAGTCGATACTACGATGGTGGCAAACTAGCATACGGCCCATCTGATGGTAAATGGTTACCGTAGCCTATGGACGCCTGAAACATCAGGGGTGTCACGTGCGCGTTGCCGACCCTAAAGAAACCTTAATATACCCTTCTTGAAAAACCCCATGCTGTAGTCTCATGAGAAAATCTCGGCAGGTAATTCATTCCACAATGTAAGTGTACGCGGGAGGAAGCTCCACTGAAACCTCACTGTTCGGGACACAATTTTAAAGATAGGATTGTGTTTATTAACATTTATAAATAGTACAGCCAAATCACACAGTCATTATTGTTAGCTTCAATACATAAAGAGCACTCGGTTGATTAATTTGTTACTTACATTTCATTCATTAAAAACCATAGCGAGTCACGTGATGTTGGTGGCGTCACGATTATGCCGCCACCAATAGGAATAGAGATAAAGAGGCCGGGAACAAGGAGTGAGCGGGCTGCTCTCACTCTGTTCGAGGCGACCGAGATGATCACACGTGAATGTACAGCGACGCAATATATATGGAGTGTAATTTGGAAAAGGAATAAATTGAAAGTACTGCTGCATTGACGTATCATTTCAGAAACTTCCTAATATTTAATCACTTAAACTTGGTCGTTAAATTCAAATATCACGAAGTACGTCTTTCATTGTAAGTAGCTACTAATCCCCTGTCATTTGAGATATACTTTTTTATCTGTGGCGCTCCGAGTACCTGCGTGTTACTGTCACTGAGACCATAAATTACCAGGACATTTGTCGAGGAGCGTTTTATCTGCGACTCGCCGAAAAATACGATTCGGCAACTTTTTCTCTATACGATTCCAAGTCGACATTTAATCTGTCTGAATGGTTAATTTGCTGGAAGGACTGGTTTCTAGATTGCCGCTACGAGGCTTCGCAATGACGGGGGATATTGGGGGGATGTTTTGGGTTGCCAACTTATTCTATTTAGTCAATATAGCGAACTCCTTGATAAGGCCCCTCCGATCGATCCCCCGTCCAATTCAAACGGGGATCGAAATTACGACGGCCTGAGCCGAGGTTCGAACCTCTAGTGGTACCCTCAGACTAAAGTCGTATCCGTCAGGTGGGAGTTGGCCTTCAGCCGCTCCATAAGTCCTTCCTTGGTTTGGAGTGCCATCTGCACTCGCCCCATAACGTCCGGTGAAGCTGTAAAGGCCAGCTACGGCCAACAGCATTAGGGTAGTCCGAAAATAAAAAGCTAGTACAGATTTTTATATCATCATCATCAGCCCACTGCAATCCACTGCTGGACATAGGCCTCTCCCAAGGCACGCCCCTGGGCACGATCTTCATCCCTTCTCTTCCATTTTTACCCGCAACCCTACGTATGTCGTCGCTCCGCCTAGCTGCGGGGCGTCCTACACTACGTTTGCCAATTCGCGGTCTCCACTCTAGAACACGAGTTGACAAAATTTTTATATAATTCCCGAGAAGTACATGAGAGTTGGACATCCTAGTGGTGGAGACACGGTGATGATCCCAGGAAACGAACCGGAAGGAAGTGGACGACGGCGCTATGAACATTATTTCGTTTATCCTCGATCCGGTAGTTATAGTTAACTGTCCCTTGACCCTACGGTTTTTGTTCTATTACACCTAATTGTATTAGACAGACAGACAGACCAACAGAGTGAATACCGTTATTAGTTCCTTATATTATTTACTAGTGAATCGCCTGGACGTCAATAATCTATACATCTATACATATAAATAAAATTTGAGTGTTTGTTTGTAATATTGAAATAACCGTTTTTTACTACATGCATATGAATATAAATACGGTACATACAACAAAATAACATTTGTTACAATTTTTGTCTGTCTGTCTGTCTGTCGGATATTTGTTCCTATACATATAAATAAAATTGTAGTGTCTGTTTGTACTATTGAAATAACAATTTTTTACTACACGCATATGAATATAAATACGGTACATACACCAAAATAACATTTTTTTCAATTTTTGTCTGTCTGTCTGTTGGTCTGTTTGTTCCTATACATATAAATAAAATTGGAGTGTATGTTTGTAATATTGAAATAACCGTTTTTTACTACATACGTATGAATATAAATACGGTACATTCACCAAAATAAGATTTTATACAATTTTTGTCTGTCTGTATGTCTGTTCCGGCTTATCTCTGAAACCGCTGGACCAATGACGGGACTTTTTTTTGGCAGTTAGCTGATGTAATAATGCGTAACTTAGGCTACTTTTATTTTAGAAAAATAAAGTTAAATTCCACGCGGACGCAGTCGCGGCAACAGCTAGTAAATTAATAAGGAGGTATATACAACTCACCCGGTTCTGTACGTCTTCCATTCCAGTCGCATTATAGGCTTGCAGGGTTCTAACTTGCCGTCTTTATTTGCTTTAGCTGTAAACAATAAGATAAGTAATAAGTAACTGTAATCTTAAATAACTGTAATAGTAATAAATAACTTTTTTTTTCTAATAAAATATAGTCTATGTTCGTCTTTATGGTACGATCTATCTTAACACCAAATTTCATTACGATTCGTTCAGTCTTTTAGTTGTGTATGTAATAAATAGACAGACAATTTCGCATTTATAATATCAACTAGCTACTCGCCCCGGGTGTACGTGTACATATGTACTTATATATATACATATAAACCTTCCTCTTGAATCACTCTACCTATAAAAAAAATCGCATCAAAATCCGTTGCGTAGTTTTAAAGATTCAAGAATACATAGGGACGGACAGATAGCGACAGCGACTTTGTTTTATACTATGTAATGATAACTTCCCGTCCCGGCTTCTCACGGGTATACATATAAACCTACCCTTGAATCACGCTATCTTTTATTTATTTTTATTTATTTAAATAACTTTAATGCACGTCATACATAGGTAAAAAGTACATATGGCGGACTTAACACCTAATGGCATTTTCTACCAGTCAACCATGAGTTGTGCAGAGATAAGTTGTTGGCGGTGCAAACAATAATATATTATTTTATAGAATATACATGAATAAATATATATATATATAAAGAAATTCTTTATAATAATATAATTAAATATTTCAACAATTCAAATTTTGGCGCGTTCCGCGCTGTTGATTGCAAGGAGTGTCAAAGGGAGCTGTCAATAGAAATAACATAAAAATGGATCGTGCAAAAACAAGTGTGCGTGAATAAGGTTATATAAAATATATTATAAAAAGACAGTAATAGTTAAATAATAATTGTAATAAACTTTAAATGTCGTTTCTTTGTTTACAGGTGAGTTATATGTGTGATTCATTATTACAGTGTTAAATAATTGTAGTGGTTTAAAATTAAATAAAACATTTCTTTGTTTACAGAGAAACAAATTTTAGTTTATTTTATAAAGAAACCCTGAAAATATCATTATAAAACGACATTTGTTGTTACAAAAAACAAAATGAACCGGCTACAATTTGAATTTACAGTGATAGCATCAAGTGATGGCAAATCTAATGTACTAGCCATAACCTCTCTAACTACAGAAGACGGAAAATGTTTTGCGATACCAGACGAGTTGAAACCAATAAATAACCATAAAGAAATTACAAAGACGAGTACTTATATAAAGATTAAAAATAGCCTAAAGAAAAGACATCAGACTAGGAAAATATGGATAACATTAAATGAAGAACAAAAACAAACCTATGTTGACGAAGACGGAAATATCCAATTTTTAGATCAATATTTAGAAGAAATTTCTATAGAACAACCAACAGGAAAAGATAACAATCTGCAACAAATTCTGGATAGATTAGTGGAATCCACAGAAAAAAAAGAACATCACAATTTAAAAAATATATCCGAGAAATTTATTATAGAAAAATTCACAAGCAGGAACTCAAATGCAACTCAATGGATGGAGACTTTTGAGAAAGAATGTGTGAGGTTTAATATAATAAAAGATGAAACAAAAATAGAAATATTAAGATTATTTTTAGAAAAAACTTGTTTAGACTGGTATAGTTCTATGGTCACAAAACTGACAGTAAATTCATATTGGACAGAGTGGAAAGAAAAATTTTTGGAAACATTTAAGAATAGAGGATGGGATACGGTAACATATGCATTTGCATTCAGATATAAAGAAGGATTATTAATTGATTATGCGATGAAAAAGGAACGCCTTATATTAGACATTAACAAATCTATAGACTCCAGAACATTGATAGATCTTATTGCAACAGGTCTCCCAGGTTTTATCCTAAACAAAATAAACAGAGAAGAAATCAAAGACAGCACTGATTTATTCAATGAAATTAGAAAATATGAAAGTATGATATACAGAAAAAATACTACGGTAATAAAAAATAGTAAATTAAATTTTAAAATGAAAACCATGGAAAGAAAATCATGTAAAACATGTGAAGAATTAAATAAAGGAATTAGATATCATCCAGAGGAAGCGTGTTGGTTCAATATAAAAAAAAATGAACAAGAGAAAATACTTAGAACAAAAAATGTAAATAGTAACTCTATTATAGAAGTAGACTTAAATACTGAGCAAAAAAACTAGTAAGTACACCATTAATCAAGATCAATATTGTATTAGAAGATAGATTAGAAGTATGTGGCATTTATGATTCAGGCTCACAAATCTCTTTAATAAATTCAAGACTAATCAAAGTAAAAGAAAATAAACACAACATGAATACAGCATACATGAGAACGGTTAATGGTGTAAAGAAAACAGAGGGTTTGATAACAATTAAGATAAAGATTTTTGAAATAGAAGAAGAGGTGGATGTATACATAGTTGAAAATGAAGAATTTGATGATTTCATAATCGGGTTAGATATGATACAGAAATTTAGATTGACCCAAAATGAAAACCTAAAAATAGAACAAATGAAAAGAAAAGATATAAATGAAAAACAGAATAAAATTGATAAAATCTCTAAAGATAAAGAAAGTCAAGACAAGATGAAAGAAACATATTCAATAAATTTTAACGAACACATAGAAGTAGAAGACTTTAAAATTAAAATAAATCATTTAGACAACAAAAAGAAAATAGAAATAGAGAAAATAATTAAAGAATACAAAACAGTCTTTGCAAAAGATAAATATGATGTTGGTATGGTTAAAGATTATGAAGCTCACATAGATTTACTAGTAGATAGATACTGTAGTAAAAGGCCATATCGATGCACAATTGATGATAAAATAGAAATAGAAAAACAGATATCAATGTTACTAAAGAATAAGTTAATAGAAGAATCATACAGTCCCTTTGCAGCTCCGGTGACACTAGCATTTAAAAAAGATGAAAATAAAAGATCAAGATTATGTATAGATTTTAGAGAACTAAACAAAATTATTATGCCACAAGCCCAACCATTTCCATTGATAGATGATTTGATAATAAAGACTAGAAATTGCAAATACTTTACTACATTAGACATAAATTCAGCATTCTGGTCAATACCATTACGGATTGAAGATAGAAGTAAGACAGGATTTGTAACACAAGATGGACACTTCCAGTGGACCTGTCTACCATTTGGATTAAAAACATCACCAGCTATTTTCCAAAGAATTCTTAGCAATATACTACGAAAACACAATCTGACAAGCTATGCTGTTAATTACATTGATGATATTTTAATATACTCATCAACTTTTCAAGAACATATAAGGCATATAAGATATGTATTAGATGCAATAATAGAAGAAGGTTTTAGATTGAAATTTAAGAAATGTACATTTGCTTCAAATTCAGTGAAATATCTGGGCCACATAATTCAAAATAATTCTGTAAGACCGCTAAAGGATAATTTAACGTCAATAAGAGATTTTCCAACACCTAAAACCCAGAAAAATATTAGACAATTCCTAGGGAAAATAAATTTTTATCATGAATATATACCGAGAAGCGCAATAATTTTAGATCCATTACATAAATTATTAAGAAAAAACGAGAAGTTTGTTTGGTCAGAAACATGTGAAAATTCATTTAAACAGATAAAAGAGTATTTATGCTGTCAACCAGTATTAGAAATATATGACAAGAGTTTACCAATAAAAATATATACAGATGCATCTTTAGAAGGTATTGGGGCAATACTGAAACAAACACAACCAGATGGTAAAGATAAGCCAGTGGCATATTTCTCAAAAAAGCTAAATGAAGTTCAAAAAAGAAAAAAGGCAATATACCTAGAGTGTTTAGCGATAAAAGAAGCTGTGAAATACTGGCAACACTGGCTTATTGGAAAAAAGTTTATTATTTACTCAGACCACAAACCTCTTGAAAATATGAATATAAAGGCTAGAACAGATGAAGAATTAGGGGACCTAACATACTATTTATCTCAATATGATTTTGTAATAAAATATATACCTGGTAAAGAAAATTTAGAAGCAGACGCCTTAAGCAGAAACCCTGTATTAGAATCAGAATCTAACAAAGAAGAGATTTTAAAAATAGTGAATTTAATCAAAATAGAAGAAATAATGACAGATCAAGATAAAAATGAAATAATAAAAATATATAAACAGAATTTTATACAGAAAAATCAAATATATTACAAAAAAATTAAAAACCAGTATAAAATTATTCTCTCTGAAGAATTTAGCAAGAAACTTATAAAACAAATACATGAAGATTTATGCCATCTTGGAATCAGGCAGTTACAAAGGAAAGTAAGCCCAATATATACAGCGAAACATTTAACAAGAAACATAATAAATATTTGTAAAAACTGTGAAACCTGTATAAAAAACAAATCAAGACTGGACTTGGACTTGGACTACAGTAGCTAGAGAATATATATATAAATATAATGAGACAGAACATTCAGTTACAGGATTTGCTCCGAAATATTTACTAGATGGCACAAATGTTACCATCCTACCAAATGAACTGAAGGTTCTAAAAAAAGAAGATCAGTGGATTGAAGACAAAAAACTAGCATTAGAGAACACCAAAAGATCACATGATTACAATAAGAAAATATTTGATAAAAACCGAAAGCCATGTGAATTTAATATAGGAGACAGAGTATATGTAGAAAACGGAAACAAATTAAACAGAAAGAAATTAGATGAATTGAAAATTGGTCCTTTTGAAATAGTGGAAAAAATTTCAAACTCAATTTACAGAATCAACACTGGAAACAAGAAAGCTGAATCTACATTATTTCATATAACAAAATTACAACCTATTCAAACAGATAGTGAAGCACATGATGAAGACAATACATTATAAAAAATTCTATGAGAAATTTTCACCCCTGGTGGGGGAGATATAAAGAAATTCTTTATAATAATATAATTAAATATTTCAACAATTCAAATTTTGGCGCGTTCCGCGCTGTTGATTGCAAGGAGTGTCAAAGGGAGCTGTCAATAGAAATAACATAAAAATGGATCGTGCAAAAACAAGTGTGCGTGAATAAGGTTATATAAAATATATTATAAAAAGACAGTAATAGTTAAATAATAATTGTAATAAACTTTAAATGTCGTTTCTTTGTTTACAGGTGAGTTATATGTGTGATTCATTATTACAGTGTTAAATAATTGTAGTGGTTTAAAATTAAATAAAACATTTCTTTGTTTACAGAGAAACAAATTTTAGTTTATTTTATAAAGAAACCCTGAAAATATCATTATATATATACACATGTAACTACATAAATATTCCTACAAATATACACAAAAATACATATACATATACAAAAATATACCATACACACATAAATATATGACCAATAATCTGACAATGAAATAGTGATTACAGCCGACAGTGTAAGCATATTACAATAGATACAATATGATTCGCCTTTTACTGAAAATTGCATTAAAATCTGTTGAGTAATTTAAAAGTTCTAAGCGAACAGACAACGGAAGGAATATTTTATACTATACTCGCCACTGGCCCCAGCTTCGTCCGGGGGTACATGTATTATATATATAAACCTTCCTGCAGAATCACTCTATGTATTAAAAAAAACCCCTTCAAAATCGGTTGCGTAGTTTTAAAGATTCAACCACACATAGGGACGGACAGACAACGGAAGGGATATTTTATACTATACTCGCCACTGGACCCAGCTTCGTCCGGGGGTACATGTATTATATATATAAACCTTCCTGCAGAATCACTCTATGTATTAAAAAAAACCCCTTCAAAATCGGTTGCGTAGTTTTAAAGATTCAACCACACATAGGGACGGACAGACAACGGAAGGGATATTTTATACTATACTCGCCACTGGCCCCAGCTTCGTCCGGGGGTACATGTATTATATATATAAACCTTCCTGCAGAATCACTCTATGTATTAAAAAAAACCCCTTCAAAATCGGTTGCGTAGTTTTAAAGATTCAACCACACATAGGGACGGACAGACAACGGAAGGGATATTTTATACTATACTCGCCACTGGCCCCAGCTTCGTCCGGGGGTACATGTATTATATATATAAACCTTCCTGCAGAATCACTCTATGTATTAAAAAAAACCCCTTCAAAATCGGTTGCGTAGTTTTAAAGATTCAACCACACATAGGGACGGACAGACAACGGAAGGGATATTTTATACTATACTCGCCACTGGCCCCAGCTTCGTCCGGGGGTACATGTATTATATATATAAACCTTCCTGCAGAATCACTCTATGTATTAAAAAAAACCCCTTCAAAATCGGTTGCGTAGTTTTAAAGATTCAACCACACATAGGGACGGACAGACAACGGAAGGGATATTTTATACTATACTCGCCACTGGCCCCAGCTTCGTCCGGGTGTACATGTATATATACTACCTATAAACCTTCCTGTAGAATCACTCTATCCATTAAAAAAAACCGCTTCATAATCCGTTGCGTAGTTTTAAAGATTTAAGCATACATAGGGACGGACAGACAGCGACAGCGACTTTGTTTTATTCTATGTAATGATGATGCTTACTATAAATTTATTCTAATCGATATGCTGTGAGGATTTGGTGTCTCTAAATAGTAATATATAACCTGTAATAAAGATATTTTAACCTAAGTATTTTAAAAATAATACAGTCAATTGAGATATAAATGAAATTAGTGCTGGTTGGTAGTTTGTATTCACACGTTTCGACTTGTAAAATGTAAACTTACAAGGATTGTTTAAAAGAGCAACACACAAGTTTCTTGCTTATTCTTCTTGTGATGAGACAGCTTTCCGAATAAGCGGTAGATTTAAAAAATGTTGACTATTCAAAAGTGCTTAAATTAAGTTTATTTGAATAAATGATTTTCTATTCTATTCTATTCTATTAGATATACTCGGATTGCAATTATTTGTCGTAAATTTGTCTATAGCATTTATGGTACATGTACATACACATATATGATAGTATATTCTTTGGAAATGTTTGTCACACAGCGCCGTCTTGTCTTAAACTAAGCAGAGCTTGTGTTATGAATATTAAACAACAGATACAAATACTTACATACGTTTTTTTAAATACGTAAGTACATAGAAAATACAATACAATTATAAACCTTTTTTTTAAATACATACATAATATACATAAACATACAGACATATAATACAAACAATCGGGGGGAATGTGGATTGATGATCTCATTACTAGCAATGTACTGTGTCAGGTTGACCTCCACGCGGTTCCTCCTGGAAACCATCGTGATAAATTCCCGGTGAATTTGTCACGATGGGCTAACTGACCTGACCTCATGCTCATCTTATCACCCCCCACTGGTGCCCCGCCAGCGTAAACCGTTAGCGCAGGAGGGTGCACCATTCCATTATCAACAAAAAAAAATACAAACAATCATACTCATTAATACAAATAAACATTTGTATTATTAAGTTTGATTCTTTGTATTGATTTGAGTGTTTCTTGTTACTACTGTGCTTGGAATCAAACCCGCGATCATCGAAATATCTACTAGATCGCCGAGGCCATCGACCGAGGTTTGAAATGTCTATTGAACAGAGTAAACAGTTAGTTAATTATAATCCGGTTACGTTACAGCATCTGTTACATTTATCATCTTGTAAAATGGATTATCACTAAATGAATTACGTTCCATTGTCATTTGTTGATTAATATCCGTTGTTTGGCATCGCAACATGGCGGCGCTGGCACCACAACTTGTGTAGTGAACAGGGACGGATCAGTCTAGCAACATTGGGAGCAAATACTCCGGGCCCCATCCTCCAAGGGGCCCGGGCTCCCTCTCCTATTTGAACTATAACAAAATAGTTTTTTGAATCTTCAATATTTACTATTAGCTGTTCGTGACTTCGTCCGCGTGGAATTTAACTTTATTATCCAAAAATAAAAGTAGCCTAAGTTACTCCTTATTACATTAGCTACCTGCAAAAAGAGTCCCGTTAAATTCGGTCCAGCCATTTCAGAGATTAGCCGGAACAAAAAGACTGACAAATATAGTAAAAAATGTTATTTTGGTGTATGTATCGTATTTACATTCATATGCATGTAGTAAAAAACGGTTATTTCAATATTACAAACAGACACTCCAATTTTATTTATATGTATATATGTATTATATGGCTATTTGCGATCGCAAATAACAATTATAATATAGGCAATTCTTTCTATATCCATTCTAAAACCTCGGGTCTCCTCTCACCCAAACGCAATAGCAATATTTCCAATTGAATTTTTGCCATAAATATATACATTCCACGCTACTTGGGTTACTCATATTCCTTGACTGTATATAATTCCAGAATATATAATTTCAATAATTCCAATGTCTTGGACATTATTCGAATTTTTATACCGTTTTGGATTGTTACTACGAATTAGGTGAAGATATTTATTATTTATTTATTTAATAATAATAATAATAATTATTATTATTATATTCTTTATTATTATTATTATATTTATTTATTTAAAACTTTCATCATCATCATCATCATCACCCGGAAGACGTCCACTACTGGACATAGGCCTCCCCCAAAGATCTCCACGACGATCGGTCCTGCGCTGCTCGCATCCAATGCCTTCCAGCGATCTTGACCAGATCATCGGTTGACCTTGCTGGAGGCCTGCCCACGCTGCGTCTTCCGGTCCGTGGTCGCCACTCGAGGACTTTACTGCCCCAACGGCCATCTGTCCTACGAGCTATGTGCCCTGCCCATTGCCACTTCAGAGTCGCAATTCTTTATTTATTCTCGCAATTTAAAACTTTATTGACCAATAAATTATAATACAAAAGACGGAATTAATGCTATAAGCATTCTCTACCAGTCAACTTTCAGGAAGTGCAGAAATACTTGATGGTATTTTAATATAGGTCCTTTATAAATATATATAGGTCCTTTTGTAAAAGATAGGTCCTTTTTTAGTAAAAAATCGAGTGTGCGATATGACGATATCAGATGCCTTCCTTTGAACGTTTCAACGCGTTTAATTATTATAGAAAAGTAGCTGTCCCGGCAAATGTTGTTTTGACATATAAATTAATAACGCTATTAAAAATAGGGGTTGATGATAGAAGGGTGAAAATTTAGGATTGTATGTATTTTTGTATGTTGTATCATAAAAAAATAGAAACTAAAAATTTTGTCTAAAAAATATAAAAAAAAATTTTAGGAGTGGACTACTCCTAACATTTAGGGGGATGAAAAATAGATGTTGGCCGATTCTCAGACCTACTCAATACGCTCACAAAATTTCATGAGAATCGATCAAGCCGTTTCGGAGGAGTATGGGAACGAAAACTGTGACACGAGAATTTTATATATAAGATTTTCATTTCGCGCACGTTTTGTATGAACAGGCAATGATTTCCTTTTAAAATGATTTATAGGCCCCGCGCTGACCTAATCCGACACTGGTTGTTATATACCATGTACCAATTATCAAATTGAACAGACTATATTGCAATGAATATAATAGATTGCGAAATTACAAGTTCAAACCTCGCTTAATGAATCAATTAAATTCAAATTCAATAATCATCTATTCATGTAGGACATTTTAGCCGCTTATGAATGTCAAATTTTTATATTACAATTTTTTCTTACCGTCCAGTTCAGTATATAGATCCAATTGAGAAGAATTGGCAAGAAACTCAATTGAATTACTTCATATCCAAAATATCTTTATTCATGTAGGTCTATTACAGACTCTTATGATATGTCAAATCTACCGTCAGTTCGGAATAAATTCAAGATGAGAATAACTGACAAGAAACTCAGTTCGTATTCTTTTCAAATAAATGTTGTACATGTTTGCAATAATACAGATTCATAATGTAAAGAGATTTATTGATCAGGTTTTAAAAAAAAAAATTGCTCCGAAAAATATTCTTCCTTTACTGTTACTGTTCCTGATATGTGTAAGTAGGTAACTCTAATAGGACAGGTATCATAGAGATATCAAGGTCGTAGTGCTACAGGTTTTACTTAACTGAGGAATGTGTCTATAAAAAGTCATAATTTAATTTAATTATTAAAGAATCATAAAGAAGTTTGATTGTATATTTTAATTATGTATATGTTTTTATTTTATTTCAATTATCACACCCGTGTGAAGCCGGGGCCTGTAGCTAGTCTTATTTAAAAAAATACTACATGCATTGTCACCATCCATGTTTGTGAGGAGACATATATAAATTATATTATTACACTAGCTTTTGCCAGCGGCGGTGTGTGAATACAAACCACCGATTAGCACTAATTCAATGAAATAATAAAATAGAAGAAACATTCAATACACAACAACTGGTTAAACAATTAATAAGAGAAAATAAGTCATAGTGATTAGAGCAGACCAGTCCACACAAGCAGCACCAGTTCACGAGTATGACGGATGAGCCAGCCACCACTGCGCTCGACCATATTTTAGGGAGCCCAATGACCCGGCCCACCACGCCGCCACAAGTCTGGACATTTTAGTGAGCATGACTACTCAAAACACCAGACCACGTCATAGCTACTCACAATTCTATATATTATACTATCATATTCTATACGTGTTTTCATTATTCAGACACCCATACAGTCCACCGATTCATTACAGTAGCATTTATAATGCTCTTATGTCTGTCTACATAAAGGTAAGTAATACGAGAATCGCAATCGAATAGGCTTATGAAAGGGAAACAATTATGTAAGAGGGAGGTGTTGGGGGCTTCAAGGGGGAGATTACCACCTGTTTAACATTAGTTCAAATACATACATCTATAACACAATTGTAAACCACATTTAGTACGTAATTAATATTAACTACCACTAAATATCTTGTATAATTGTGAAAGTTTGTATTTCGATGTCTTCAACGTACGTCAATGCTTTAAACAATCAAATATCCTCACCGTTGCCTCACAGTACATTTATGAAAATATTATGTATACAAGGAAAAACTTAGATAGTTTCAAGAAACTTAAAGACTGTACAAGTAGAAACTTACGCAATAAAAATAAGCTAATTTTACCTAAATGCCGTCTACACAAAGTTAGTAATTCATTTTATGGTAATTGCGTAAGTCTAAATCTTACAGAGAGGCAATTCAAATCTTATATTAAACAAATGTTATGTAAAAAAGCCTATTATAAGATAGATGAATTTATAGATGATAGCAATATATAGCAAGAATAAGTTTATTTGCGGACAACGTTATAATTTATTTTTCATACTGCTTTCTTGATATATGATAGCGTAGCGGCTTTTGTATTGATTGCCGCATGCATCCTTATGTAAAGTGCGAATACTGTAACTACCATATAGTAATTTTTGTAGCTGTGACGTGTGGAATGAGTTGTCATACTCACTAAAATGTCCAGACATGTGGCGGTGTGGTGGGCCGGGTCAATGGGCTCCCTAAAATATGGTCGAGCGCAGTGATGGCTGGCTCATCCGTCATACTCGTGAACGAGTGCTGCTTGTAGGGACTGGTCTGCTCTTATCACTACGACTGATTTAATCTTATTGCATGATTATATTTGACCCAAAAAATTAGTGCTTGTCGGTAGTTTGTATTCACACGTTTCGACTTGTAAATGTAAACTTACAAGGATTATTTAAAAGAGCAACACACAAGTTTCTTGCTCGTTCTTCTTGTGATGAGACAGCTTTCCGAACGAGTGGTAGATAAAAAACAAATTGTTATGACTATTCAAAAGTGCTTAAATTAAGTTTATTTGAATAAATGATTTTCTATTCTATTCTATTCTATTCATGTTTATAGGGATGATCGGATTCGACTGAAATTTGCTATGCTAGCTGATTGTGGGGATTTTTTATCAATAAAATCATCTTGGTTGAATGCTACTCGAACACTGATTTTTATTACTAAACTAAATATAATGAGGTGAAATGTATTAGAAATAGAAATAGAAATAATCTTCATTCAAATAAACTTAATATAAGCACTTTTGAATAGTCAAAATTTTTCTTATTCTACCGCTTATTCGGAATGCAGATTCATCACAAGAAGAATAAACAAGAAACTTGAGTGTTGCGATTTTAAATAGATATTGATTTACTTATATTTAATTAACAACAAGGATTAGGCATGCGACAATCAACATAGAAACCGCTACGCACTTAATCTCTGTTCAATTAGATAACTTTGTCAGCGCTATGAATTTTAAGTTAGATATCATTTATAAATTCTTCAATTTTATAATAAGCTTTTTTACAAAGAAAATATTTTATGACACATTTGAATTTTTTTTCTGACAAATTGATTACAGACTCTTGGAGTTTGTTGTAAAACCTTACGCAATTTCCAAAAAACGAATTACTGACTTTCGTCAAACGGCACTCAGGTAAAACTAGTTTGTTGACATTACATAAGCTTTTATTAGTGTAATCACCTACTTTTTTAAAACTGTCAATGTTTTTCCTGGCATACATAATATTTTCGTAGATGTATTGAGAAGCGAAAGTGCAGTGAAATTGCATGTGTAGGCAATTGTGTTATAATAATTTATATGCTGTTGTGAGCATCGTCATTGTTGTGTTGTGATGTGTGATAGTAGTAAATATTATTCTATTCTATTCTATTCTATTCTAACTTTACTTTTAAGTGAGCAGTGTGAATTCGAATATATTATTTTATTATTATAAAAAAAATGTAAACAGTATCTGACCGTGTGGATAGGAGAGTGTGGCGGGCCTAGGAGCCCTGGTGGTCCAGGTGGCCAGGGCCCCGTCCACGTGTGCGGTCATGAGCTTCCCGTCGTGCTGCCAGGCGGCGGCTCTCACGCCCTCCCCTGGGGCGCCGGTGCCCAGCGAGCCGCGCCACTCGGCAGCGCGGGCCCGCAGGTCCCACACCACTACTAGACCCGTCTCGTACGCGATCACCAACTGTGAAATGACACGTCAAAAAAGGGTTCACTGTTTTTGTACATATAAATAAAATTGGAGTGTCTGTTTGTAATATTGAAATAACCGTTTTTTACTGCATGCATATGAATATAAATACGGTACATACACCAAAATAACATTTTTTACAATTTTTGTCTGTCTGTCTGTCTGTCTGTTTGTTCTAGCTAATCTCTGAAATGGCTGGATCGATTTTGACGGGATTTTTTTTGGCTGGTAGCTGATGTAATGAGGAGTAACGTAAGCTACTTTTTTTTTAGAAAGATAAAGTTAAATTCCACGCGGACGAGGTCGCGGGTACAGCTAGTATCATATAATTTGTACTCTGTTATTTTCATTTAGCCTCATGTTGTAGCTTTAGTAGTATCGGTCTAGCTCAGAAGTGGTTCTGCACTTCTGGCTCCTTCCTCCTTGGCTGTGAGTGGCTTCCTCCGTGAAGTCTGTGAAGACATCAGGGCCTGATGTCTTCACAGTCTTCACGGAGCGACCTCACCGTCCCGAGGATTTGTGTTTGTGTGGCCACTGCTACGCACTCCAGGATTACGTGAGCGGCCGTTTCTTCGGCTTCAAGCAGCCCCGATAAAGAGGACTGTCTGAAGCACCTATTGGGTACAGGTGTTTGATTGTTTACAAAGAGTAGTTTGTATTCATATTTGGTTCTGTATTTTACTGGATCACTGGCGATCAAATTCTAAATTGCGGGAAGACCAGTGATAGAAGAACAGACAGTTCGACAGTATTTTTATATTTAATATCAGATTATTTTTCTACGTGAATTAATTTTGATGAAATTAATCTTTATTATTTGAATGATGATCCTTTTTATTGATGAAGATGATCAAAATCAAGTGGCGACCGCGGACCGGAAGACGCAGCGTGAGATGGCCTCCAGCAAGAACCGACGATCTGGTCAAGATCGCTGGAAGGCATTGGATGCGAGCAGCGCAGGACCGATCGTTGTGGAAATTTTTAGGGGAGGCCTTTGTTCAGTAGTGGATGTCTTCCGAGATGATGATGATCAAAATCTGAGTGACTGGTGTAATCTTTGTGTGACTAAACAAATGAGCTGAGTACCTTGCTTGCGTCCAGGGGGTTGTCGCTGATCTCCACCACAGCCCCGGGGTGGTTTGGTCTTGTCCTGTAACAATATAACACCATCCTTAGTGATAACACTTAGATATGCACAAAGACATTTTTTATGTCCCATAATACACACATATACTTGGATACAAGTAGTCTTGACTTAACAATTATCTGCAGATTTTGCCAAACAGAAGTGGAAAAACATCCTATGTGGTAGTAGCTCAATAATGCATAAACGAAATATCTCCTTTAAAAAGTATATGTATCCCGAGGAGATAAAAACCATCGCTCCTAAGAATATCCTTCAATTCTTGTCCCGGACGAGTCGCCTCATCACCTTAGATTCAAATCCTTCAGAGTTCGCTATTCAAATTCAAAAATCAATTATTCATGTAGAATAGAATAGAATAGAATAGAAAATCATTTATTCAAATAAACTTACATTGAAGCACTTTTGAATAGTCATAACGTTTTTTTTTTAATCTACCGCTCATTCGGAATGCTGTCTCATCACAAGAAGAACAAGCAAGAAACTTGTGTGTTGCTCTTTTAAATAATTTATTCTTACTTACAATTTAAGTTTAAGTGTGTGAATACAAACCACCGATTAGCACTAATTCAATTAAATACTCAAAAAGAAAAAAATATTGAATAAATAACCAACTGGTTAAACAATTAATAAGAGGAAATCAGTCATAGTGATTAGAGCAGACCAGTCCCTACAAGCAGCACCCGTTCACGAGTATGACGGATGAGCCAGCCATCACTGCGCTCGACCATATTTTAGGGAGCCCAATGACCCGGCCCACCACGCCGCCACAAGTCTGGACATTTTAGTGAGCATGACTACTCAAAACACCAGACCACGTCATAGCTACTCACAATTGCCATCTGATGTTTATAGTATTCACATTTCACATAAGAATGCATGCGGCAATTAATACAAAACCCGCTACGCTTTCATATTTCTAAAATAATTGAATCAAGAAAGCAATGAGATAAACAAATTATAACGTTGTATGCTAATAAACTAATTATTTACTTGATATGTTGTCTTCTATGAATTCGTCTATCCTATAATAGGCTTTCTTACATAAAAATTGTTTAATATAAGATTTGAATTGCCTCTCTGTCAGATTTAGTGCAGATTCTGGCAGTTTATTATAAAATCTTACGCAATTACCATAGAATGAATTACTGACTTTGTGCAGGCGGCATTTAGGTAAAATTAGCTTATTTTTATTGCGTAAGTTTCTATTTGTACAGTCTTTAAGTTTTCTAAAACTGTCTAAATTCTTCCGTGTATACATGATATTCTCATAAATGTATTGTGAAGTAACGGTGAGGATATTTGAATCTTTAAAACACTGACGTAATGACTCTCTCGAACCCATACCATAAATAGAACGTATGGCTCTCTTTTGTAAAATAAATATAGTATTTATATCGGCTGCTTTACCCCACAGTAGTATACCATATGACATAATGCTATGGAAATAACTAAAGTATACAAGTTTAGCCGTCGCCACGTCTGTTAATTGCCTAATTCTTCTAATTGCATATGCAGCTGAACTGAGTCTATTGGCCAATTTTGAAATATGGGGCCCCCATTGTAATTTCGAGTCCACTGTTATACCTAAAAAAACTGTATCATTAACAAAATTTACTATTTCGTTATTAAGCAATAACTGTGTATTTATTGGTCTTACATTAGGAAGTGTAAATTTTATACACTTTGTTTTGCTGGAATTTAATAATAGATTATTACATGTAAACCAATTTAATATAGCAGACATAGCACAATTTACATCGTCTAATTGATTAGTTTGACGTCCAATTTTAAACACTAACGAAGTATCATCCGCAAACAGCACTATATCTGCAATTTTCTCTACCATAAAGGGTAGGTCATTTATGTAAATTAAAAAGAGAAAGGGGCCTAAGATTGACCCTTGTGGAACGCCCATCCCAATATCAGCTCCCTTAGATTTTATACCGTCAATATCTACAGTTTGGACCCTATCCTCTAAATAAGTTCTCATTAATTTTAGATCATTATCTTTTATACCATAATGTTCGAGCTTGTACAAAAGTGTTTTATGATCCACGCAATCAAATGCCTTTGATAGGTCACAAAAAACTCCGAGTGCATCCTGTGACTTCTCCCATGATTGGAAAATATGTGTTATCAGCGCTACACCTGCGTCAGTGGTAGACTTGCCGGCGGTGAAACCATATTGTTGACTGTGAAGCAGTCGGTTATCCCTGAAGTGTTGTAACATTTGATTTAACATTATCTTTTCAAACACCTTACTTAGAACTGGCAAAATAGATATAGGTCTATAGTTCCCTGGCTCAAATTTATCTCCTGATTTAAATAGTGGGATTAATTTGCTAAATTTCATTAATTGTGGAAAAGTCCCATTATCAATACATTTATTAAAAATAGTAGCTAGATATGGAGCAACAATATCTATGAAAGAACTAACTACTTTTACAGACATGCCCCAAAGGTCTTCTGTATTTTTTAAATTTAGATGTTTGAATATTTTTATGATATGAACGGGGCTAACATGTGAAAATTTAAATCTTAAAGCACAACAACCGATATTAGACTCTAGTAATATTTTTGCTCGAGATGGAGATGAGTCCAGAGAAGGACAACTTAGCCGCTTATGGACGTCAAGTTTTTACATTATATTTTTTTTTCCCTACCGTCCAGTTCGGTATGTATCCATTTGAGAAGAACTGGCAAGAAACTCAATTGAATTACTTTTTTTAAAAGCCAGTTTATTTACAATGTATAGGTATTTATATAGGTGTCTATGTCTAACATTAAATGAAAATCCCGTACATGAAAACTATTGCCATGCACGCTCGTCATTCAAGTAATCGCTTAGTGAGTAATAGGCCTTGCTCAGTAAATATGATTTAACAGATGTTTTGAATTTATTTAAGGGTAATTCCAAAATATCCTTTGGTATCTTATTGTAAATTTTTATACCTATTCCCATAATAGACATATTGACTTTTTCTAAACGATACTTGGGAACTATCTAGCGAACTCTGAAGGAATTGAATATAAGGTGATTATTCGACGTAGACGAAGTCGGCGGCACAGCTACACTGATTAGACTATTTGCTTTTGCAAAAGCATATGCTGGTGGTCACACTATTCTCCCAAATTTGAATTTAAAATCTGTGTTATTGTAAACATGTACAACATTTATTTGAAAAGAATACGAGCTGAGTTTCTTGTTAGTTCTTCTCATCTCGAAATCATTCCGAACTGACGGTAGATTTGTCTATCATAAGAGTCTCTAATAGACCTATATGAACAAAGATATTTTGAATTGAATTGAATCTGTTTTATTGTAAACATGTACAACATTTTTTTTAATACGAACTGAGTTTCTTTTTAATTCTTCTTATCTCGAAATGATTCCGAACTGACGGTAGATTTGACATATCATAAGTCTGTAATAGACCTATATGAATAAAGATATTTTTAATTGAATCTAAAGTGATTATTCGACGCAGAGGAAGTCGGAGGCACAGCTAGTTATTAATATAGATATGGGCAGGCGTCGTGAAGGCGCCCGCCGCGGGCCACCCGGCGCCACTTGTTGCTGGGCGGCGCCGCGGCGGGCGGCCAGCCTCCCTCTCCAGACACTGAGTGCTATTGGTTTCAGTGTCAATGCGTCTCAATCGTGAGATGAACTGACGTTTCCATGGTAACGTTGAGTATATTCAAAGTGAATGACCACTTTGAACAGTAGAGTCGGATGCTGCAACCGATTGTTGAAGCATTCTATTATGTGAACTAAATACTGGTTAACATTTTATAACTAGACTAGCTTTTGCCCGCGGCATCGCTCGCGTTGACTTATCCCCTTGGGGGTGGAATTTATCAAAATCTTTTCTTAGGGAATCGGGGATCGGGGAAAGTCTCAGCCCGATCGGTTTAAAATTGACAAAGTTTCATACAAACTTTCATCCCTTATTTTATCTCCTTGGGGATAGAGTTAATCAAAATCCTTTCTTAGCGGATGCGTACGTCGTAACATCTACCTGCATGCCAAATTTCAGCCCGATCCGTCCAGTGGTTTGGGCTGTGCGTTGATAGATCACTACGTCAGTCACCTTTGAGTTATATATATTTAAATTATTCTCATGATAATTTATTTAAGAATTCCAGATTTTGTTAAAAATATAGTAAATGAGCATAGTTATCTATTAATCTATACATATAAATATAATTGGAGTGTCTGTTTGTAATATTGAAATAACCGTGTTTTCCTACATGCATATGAATATAAATACGGTACATACACCAAAATAACATTTTTTGCAATTTTTGTCTGTCTATCTGTCTGTTTGTTCCGGCTAATCTCTGAAATGGTTGGACCGATTTTAACGGGACTTGTAGCTGATGTAATAAGGAGAAACTTAGGCTACTTTTATTTTTTTACAAAGTCTAAATATACATAACTGTATGATTATTCTAGTACAGGTGGCAGCCCTGGATGTAGATTTGATTTCCAACAGTTATCTAATGGATCGCTTTGAACTTTACGAGCGAGCCAAACCCAGCAATTAATTACCATTAATATGACAGACAAACGTAATAATCGAGCCTAGATGTGATATTATGTTACATTCGGATATTTTAAACTACTTGAGTGCTTCAGCTCGCATCTGGTTAATGAAGAAATTCTAATAATAAATGTATATTCATTTATTTAGCAACATTTACCAAATAAATAACCTTGGACCATTAACGTAGCGACATCTAGTCCTATGGTAAGCAGAGCTTGTGTTATGGGTACATGTACATATACAACTGATATGAATATTTGGTTATTTTTTTTGTATACATACATATATATATAGCAAACACTTAGGCCGATACAAACAATCATACTCTTGAATACAAATGTTTGCACCGTGAGAGGAATCGAACCCGCGACCATCGGAAGTAAAGTGCCACCAACCGCTAGACCACCAAGACATCGTCATCGTTAATATTACAATCTACACAACAATTATAGTATA